TCAAAAAAAAAAAAAGAAATCCCAAAGTCGTATTCCGCGTTGACAAACCAGAGAAACGGACAAGAGATCAGAGATCGGCAACTGGACAGGACGAGACAAGCGAGTGAGCGGAAAGCTAGGGTCTGGTCCCTGCTCTCCGCGGAGAGGGAGAGAATGCCTACAGTACAGTACAGAAGAGCGGAGAGGGAGAAACCACAAGGTCTTGATCGAGTACCGTCTACTTTGGAGGCCCTGCTTCTGCATCGTGATCTGCAATGCTGGTCTTTGCGGTCATTGGCCATGCTTGCGCTGCTGGAGGGCAGCATTCAACGTTTGTGCTGCGTTGCGTTGCACTGCGATTTTCAGTTCCCGCTGTTCTATGTCTCTAATCTCTCTACGGGGCCTTTTCCCATCACATCGCATTTCCAGAGGCTTTTCTTGGTTTTGGCTATGCATGCCGATGCGTGCGCGTTGGATGAGGCTGGGTAGGCTCTGCACATGGATAACTCTTATTTTTAGGTTCGTCTTTGATCCCGGTAGGTTGGCAGAAACAGGGATATGTATCCCCCCAGAGTTACCGACAATCCTCAAAAAGGTGAATCTCACCTTGACAACGGGCAGCCAACAAAGTCTATATTTGCGGCGCCTCGGCCGTTGAGATCACGCATCTGTACAGTATCAATTCGGTATAGTAACAGTCGAACTTACATGCTGTTGGGCTGAACTTGTCTCGACGTCATGAGTCGACGACCCTGGCCTGCCAGCGTCATTCGTTTTTCTTGTGAGACGGCAAAGGCAAAAAGTCTTGTGTCACTCAGTATTGGTATTGAACCAGACCAGCATCGATGGATTGATTTGCCATTCAGCACTGGTCTTACTGCTGCTCTCGCGACCAGTCAAGAAAAATGGAGTGAACCCTGTGGCTGCTAGACCTGGCAAATCAAGTATCGTGCTATGGAGGCGCCTAAACCATGATACCTTAGTAGTTACACGCAGGGTCCTCCCAAGGGCTCCAGTCCAGGGGATGGACTTGGACTTGGACCCTCTTATACATACTAGACTAACTAAAAGTTGAAAAAATCTACAACATTTCCCAGTTGTCAAAAGCCGTCCAAGTATTCGGTACCTGCCAAAGACTCTCATCGCCCAAAAACTAGAACCAGAACCAGAACTAGAACTAAAACTAGAATATCTCCACTTGTTTTTTCCATCTCATCCTGCCCAAGGTAGAATAGAATGTATGGTACGGCAACCACCCCCGTCGTTCTTGCCTTCTAGTTGAGTTAGGTATGTATTATTAGGTATTTTGTATCGTCACGAGAAACCGTGACGCCTTCGACTTTCCTTCCTTATACGCATTCTTCCCTCTCTCTCTTTTCCTCCTACTCCCATGAAATGACACATACAGAACAGATAGATAATATCATCATCTGTTTATTCTCAAATTCGCCTCCGATTCGGGAGCTATTGTGTCTTTCTTTTTTTACATAGTAGGTGCTGAACCTACAGTACTCTCTTAAATTCACACGCCCCTCTACTCTGTCCTCGTCTTCCTCTCCTCTGCGTCTCTACAAAGTTGTCCCGGATTGGTAAGTTGTCTTGGTTGTATGACGATCACTATTATCCTTGCTGCATTTCATCTTTCTTCAGCACGCTTTTGCCCAATCCTTTTCTTTCCCACTTCTCATTCCTAAGTTACTGTACTGTACAGTATTGCACTCAGTTGCTTAAAAGAGGAAGACGCCGTCTTTCTTTTTTCTTCTTTCACCCCTCGGCCGGTCATTATTGCCCGTCCGTCCCCCTTTGGTATATATCTCGAGCCCTTAGAACCCTCGGAGTTCAGTCCGACTCCCCTGAACCCTGGTAAAACAAGTGGATTCGACTTCGGCAGCCGTTTAAACTGATACCCATCATATCAAAACCTATGACATCTTGCCGCCCCTCAAGTACCAAAACTACTTCATCATAACTTCTCCCCCACCAAATTTGTCCACCTACCTCGTCTTATATATACATACCTACATACACACACACATACGACATTGATTACCATTCCTTCCTTATACTGCTTTGATTTCATTCTATGGAAATGATTCACCCCCTATATGCGATACGACTTCTTTAATCTCACAACTCTTTAGAATCCATGTCTATCTTGAATCCGGCTTGTCCTCGTCAACTGGACATATCTGCATATACCTTCATGCGCTCGACACGATTTCAACGGTTACGCCAAGAAGACTGCAACTCTCGTCTTCAACAACAAAACCAACGAACACGATCAAATAACAGGTCATAAATTGGATAGGAGATTGCATAGAGTTTTGGATACTGAAGTTTTTTCTTCTTATTTTTTTCAACGAATTCACGCACGGCATTGCATACTGTTGCGTTCCTCCACAGAAATCGTAATCATATAGAGGCTCGCACCTTATTAGAGAGTTTCGACGCCCCAGATACGACAGAACGAAGAGTAACGAACTCGAATAACACGACATTGTACCCCGTCTTCATTTCATTCTCCTCTCGTCAAACAATACACGCGCAGTCTATAGACGTTCATGTCCTCAAACAGTACGTCGCAATATTCTGCGACCGATCCTGCCTCCGGTCCCGGTCCTCACGAGTCGCCGACTCCCGACCCGCCCACCGACTCCGACAACGAAAACCCGGACTCGGGCCGGCAGCCACAACAAGTAACACAGTCCCAATCACCTACTCCGGGTTCACGCCATCGCGATGTTGCACCCCGAGATTTCGTACGCCTCTTTCAATGTCAGATTTGCTCGCTACCACTTGACGAGCCTATCAGTCTCCCATGTGGTAAAAGCATGTGCCGGCGTTGTCTTCCAAACACTCACTTGCGCGCCAATATAACATATCCTGCCGTTCCCGATCGACTTCGCGGTTTCCGATGTCCCTTTGAGGACTGCGGGAAAGAACATGCTCTTGGCGATTGCGCTGTCGACGTGGTTCTCAACAAAACGGCCCAACATGTGAGGGAAGAAATAGAGCGTTTCAAGCGCGAGTCTTTGACTACTGAGTTGGCAACAAGAGTCATGTGGCAGGATCCTTGGGCTGCTGCAGGCATTGCTTCTATGCGGAATGACAATGATGCGTACTCAAAAGTCATACCAGGTGGAAAGGTCATAGCCACATATCGTTTGGCAGAAGAAGGTGATCTTTCTTATGAAGCTGATATTTCCTATGACGAGATCATCTCGGCAACCCCGTCACCACCTCCCGACGTCGACGACACAGGGCTCGTTCGGAAGGCGCAAGACGCTACTCGCGCTGAAATGGACTGCCAGGTCTGCTACGCGCTTTTCTACGACCCTCTCACAACGACCTGTGGACATACTTTTTGCAGGTCGTGCTTACATCGTATCCTTGACCATTCACGATATTGCCCAATATGCCGTCGTTCATTGGCCATCAGCCCTTTACTCAATCAGACTCTGTCACCGTCCAATCAAACTATCAAGCGAATCATCGAAACATTTTGGTTGGAAGAAGTAAACGCCCGGAAAGAAGCGTTGGATGCTGAACGTGTTACGCAAATGGAAGAGTACGATACTTCTCTTTTTGTGTGCACTCTATCATTTCCTCACATGCCGACATTCCTACATATTTTTGAGCCAAGATACAGGCTTATGATTCGAAGAGCGGTTGAAGGAGATCACACGTTTGGCATGGTAATACCAAAACGACGTCAATATCCTGGTGATACTGATTTCCACGAACTGGGCACCTTGCTTCGAATTGTCAATATTCAATTCTTTTCTGATGGACGAAGTCTCATAGAGACTGTAGGTCTGTCGCGCTTCCGTGTTCTTGAACACAACTTCCTTGATGGATACATGGTTGGCAAGACTGAACGAGTTGATGATGTCAGTCTTGAGGACGAAGAAGCAGCCGAAGCCGCTGAAGCAAGTCCAATGGAGACCGAATCTAACCAAGACCCTATTCATATTCTGGAGGGAGACAAAGAACCTACAGAGCAACCATCAACGTCGCCCTTACCGCGCTCAAGTTCATCAAGTCCTCATATGCCAACATCCGCGGCCGATATCGACGCAATGTCAACACAAAGCTTGATGCAGTACGCTTCAACCTTTGTCTCACGAATGCGAGAACAAAGTGTGCCATGGTTGACTGAACGGATGTTGACTATATATGGCGAATGTCCGGAAGATCCTGCCATATTCCCTTGGTGGTTCGCCAGTATGCTACCTGTTAAGGATATTGAGAAATATCGACTCCTAGGAACATCCAGTGTACGCGAGCGTCTCAAGCTCTGCTGCACATGGATTGTGGAATGGGAGATGGCCCGATGGTGAGTAAGATCCAATGACATCTCACCTTCCCTTCCTTTTGATTCTATGTCATACATATACCCTCTCATTTCACCACTCCTCTCATTGAGCATCTGCTCGTCGTCGTCATCTGTCGCTCAGGCTAAAACGACGTCTCCCTTTTCCAGGACAAAGCTGATTGACGGCCGTTCAGGTCCTACCACGGCTGCACGATCCTCTGATTGACAATCCTTGCCCTACTATCTCTCTCTCGGCATGGTTCTGCAATTCGTGCTCGTGCTTTTCTGCTTTATTGCACAGTTTCTGTACGAGAAACAAAACGGTCTGCGGAGTTGATATTATCACACTTCTGACACAGACAGGACAATTACGACGCGACGATAGCTAGGGCGGGTTGGTTTGTATCATGGCATTACGGCGCATTTTACGAGGCAAAAGCTTCAAGATATTGACCTTTTGGGCCCAGAAGAAGAGGAGGAAGATAACTTGACTACAAAAAGACAGTGGATCTATTAAGCTAGTCTATTCCAATCTAGACCTGCCTCAATATTTACCTCAAATCTAAGGAAAAGTCGAGTTTTCTCATGTCTGGGGTTGTGTGTAAGAAGAGGAGGCAGTCAGTCATAGCATCCTTGATTTTGCGGATACCATACCCCCTTTGGCTGAATCATGTAGATATCTTTCATAATGCAACGACTCTATTTACCAAACATCGGCTGCACCATTTGTGTCTTGTGCTGCAGAGGGATCGCCCCAAGGTGCAGTGACGGCCGGAGTCTCTACCCAAGTGCCGGGCATAACGTTGTCGGGGTCGTCTCCTGCTGAAGAGGCAGGTTGGCCATTCCCGTTCCTGTTCCCATTTTCGTTCCCATTTGCGTTCCCATCATTGGCTCCACAAACACCAACGTTGTTGTCTGCGCCTTGCCCAACACTGCTCACACCATCCTTCGAGTGGTCCCAGTCACCACTAGCACCTGGGAAAGTATCATTGCCCCAGTGGGCTCCCTTGACGACAGTTTCGTTGCTCTTGTTCGATCCAGTGCTCCATCCAGCTCGCTGTACGGGGTCCCAATGGCTATTCGGAGCCGTCTCTTGAGTACCGCCATTGTCCCCATTATTCCAATCAGTTACTGCCTGGTTCTCATTGGTATTGTTTCCCCAAGTGTTATTCTGTTCATCGCCGCCGCCGACGTTGTTGCCATTGCTGTTGTCTTGACCGGTAGTACCCCAATCCACTTGGTCATTCTGGGTATTCTGGTCGTCAACTCCTTCGGTGTTCCAACTGCTTCCTGGATCATTATTGTTGCTGCTGTTCCAATTGTTCCCTTGATCATTACTGTTGTTGCTGTCCCAAGTGTTTCCTTGATCATTGTTGTTGCTACCGCCCCAAGTGTTCGACGCAGCTCTGACAGAACCAGATGGTTGGCTGTGTTCTTTAGAAGCGGTCCGGGCTCCTTGACTACCCCATGCACCGCACTGTCTGTATTTCTTGGGCAGATACGGGTTATCCTTTCCCTGGTTTATGAGTTAAGTCTATTTCTATTGCTGTTGCTCGCTGCCATCAATACTTACAGTGAGACTTGGTGGTCCAACGTTGTTGTTCTGACTGGCTTTGTCTTTGCTGGAAGCTGGCGCAGTCTTTGGTCCGTAACTGGCTGGGGCTTGAGGAGGACCCGGAGGAGGACCTGGTGGGCCACCCATAGCATACCAGGGAGGATGGGACATTCCTTGAGTGATTGGCACGTGAGAATAGGCATCTGGGGGCGGAACGCCTGCGTATTGCTGATGGTATGGCGACATAGGTGCGTAGTGGGGGTATTCCTTCGGGTTGTTGAAGCCATAGTAGAAGGGATTGTGCATAGGATGGGGTGTTCCCATGGGTAAGGGGCGAGTGAAACCATTGCGGTCGGGGTAGAGAGCATTGCTCTGGTGGTTTCCGTAGACGGGGCCATGATAGACCCTCATGACGTTGTGTTCTGGATCGTAGTAAGCATTTGGTGCTGGATCTTCTGGAGTTTCGATCACGCGTTCTGTCTGAACAACTTGAGCCCGGATCGGTTCGATCAACTGAGGGCGACGCATGTGAGGGCCTGGAAGTCCTTCGGGATAATTGCCCTTCTTGACTCCATCCTTGTATCTAGGCTGTGCCTTTTCTTTGCCTCTCATCTTCCTGAACTTGCCTTGGTCTTGTTCTTTGGTACCCTCAGAAGTCTTCTCTTCAGCTTCTGCTTCTTTGGGATCCTCCGGCTCTTTATTCGCTTTCTTATCGGCCTTTTGCTTCTTGTTCTTCTTGTTTGTCTGCTTGTTTGCCTTCGAAGCTTGCTTGGGACCTTGTTTCTTGTTGTTCTTCTGTTTGCCTTTGCTTTGTTGCTCGGGTTCCTCTTCTAGCTCGACCTCGTCTTCTGTTTCTTTAGCCGATTCTGAGCTTTCTCCGTCAGTCTCGTCGGGTTCTGGATCCGGAGCAAACTTTTTGCCTTTCTTGCCAGCCTTTTTGGCATTGGTCTTTTGCTGTTGCTTCTTGTTCTTCCAGCCCTTCCAGGGAGGCTCCGGTTCGGATTCTGATGTTTCGGGTTCGGACACTGGCTCTTGTTGCTTTTTACCCTTTTGTTTACCCTGTTTCTTGGACTGTTTTCTGTTGAATTGCCGCTGTTGCCAAAGTGGTGGAGTGTCATATTCAGACTCAGAGGTGTCTTTAGCAGAATCATAGGCATATGAGTCCAGTTCTGGCTCATGCATCCATCTCGTGCCTTTCTTCTTTTTCTTTGCAGTCTGTTGATTGTGCTTGGGGGGTTCTTCTGCTTCGGACTCAGAATTCTCAGGGCTAGGGGGGGTATACTCCTTGCTCTTTTTCTTGCCTATCCTCCTCAATATCTCTCGACCCTTGACGCATTTGTGACACTTACAAGTCGGGTCTGGATCTGAGTCCCAGTCGCTCTCAGAATCAGCCTCGATTTGTTTCTGCTTCTGTCTCTTCTTCTTTCTCTTCTTTCTCTTTTTCTTGGGAGAGGTTTCTGAACTCTCAGCGTCAGAATCAGTGGCATCAGAACTGGAAATATTTTCAGACTGACTGGAATCCGATTCTGGCTCAGATTCAGATGTCTCATCAGAAGACTCGAATGGGGTAGTGATGACGGTTTGCTTTAAAGCAGATTTTACAGGCCCATCTTCGAAGCGGACTTTCTTGATCACAGTCTTGGCTTCGGTAACCACAGGAGCAGGTTCTGGTTCGGGCTCAGATTCCGGTTCGGGGTCAGGGGGAGAGGGAGGAACGTTGCGTCCGGTGCGAGGGTAGGTGATCCTGACGGTGTCTTCCTCAGACTCATCATCGGTAGTAACTTCAACACGCACGACTTCTCGTTTCTTGTTCTTGGGGGGTTTGCTTTTAGGGATAGGACCGAGGGCAGATTCGATGGTTGTGCCAACTACCCACTCGCAAAAGTGCGAGGGGCCTTTGAGTTTGCGATTCGCCATTACGAATCCGAGCGAGTTGTCATCGCGAGAGTGAGGATAAAGGGAAGATGGTTTTGTCGGGGCCAAACAAGAGACAAAATTGGATGCAACCAAATGGATGTGGTGAAGGTGGGAATTGGTCGCACGGGCTAGCAGCGGATGAAAAGTCGAAAGGGTGATTTGTTGTTGGCAGTTGCTGGCACTGTCAAGGCAGAAGGGGGGATGATCCTCTCTCCTTCGCGTCTGCCTGCCTCAGCTAGCTAGGTAGGTAGGTATTAGTTGCAGCTCGATAAGGCAGCTCCAAATAGGCAGGCAGTGATGATTTTATTTGTTGAGTTGAGATTATAGGAGCCTTCAGATATTTTCTACGCTGTCGAAATAGCCAAGGTATACCTCGCCTCCATGTGTACGTTCTTATTAGCAGTTTTGCAGTAGCAAATAAAAGCACTAGTTGAAAGAACCTCTTTGTTGTCACTGTCGAGAAGGTGTCGCTCTTGAATACCTTTGAGCACCTCGCCCATAGTCTTCTCTTGAGATAGCCAATTACTTGATCCAAGAGGTACTACAGGAAGACTGGTCAACAGTTTTACAGTAAGTCCACAGAGAGCAACACTGATAGCAGAACTTAGACTCCCATCAAGTCTCGATGCCTCTATATTCACCTTTCTATATACTAATTAGACACGCCTCGTCAGTCTTCTAGATCTTAGGGGCTACAGTCAAGTACCCTTCAACAACCGCTGTGATCAAACGGTTTGCAATGGCCTGAGAAGGAGGCAGTCGTAGATCGCCCTCTTTATATCCTTCGGGGGCAGCCTCTCCCAAGGGGCTTGTTCCGTTCTTGAGTGCCCTACGAGCCTCGTCCATTGTAAACCACTTCGCCGCCTCCAGCTCCTTGTCGTTCAAGGTGATATTCTCGCCATCGCCAGGAAGCGCCTGAGCAATAGCGCCAATCATGAGGCTAGCAGGGTAAGGCCAGGGCTGGCTCGAGTGAATAACGACTCTGCCGACACGAACACCGCTCTCCTCCCAAACCTCGCGCCTGACCGACTCTTCAATCGACTCGCCAGGCTCAAGGAAACCAGCGAGGGTGCTGTACCAGTATGCGGGCCAGCGCTTTTGGCGACCAAGGAGAATCTTTGTGCCATCTGCGGAAACAACAGCAGCGATCATAGTGGGGTCCGTTCTAGGGAAGCAAATATTAGAAACGCCATGGCGGGTGGCACAATCTCCGCGAGGCTCGCTGTTCTCGCCACCCTTCTTGTCGGACGTAGGGCAGACGCGCTTATAGCCTGCATGGACAGAAAGGTTAGGCTGTCCGCAGCCAGCACAGAATGGGCTGCGTGAGTTCCAGTCAACCATGGATCTGGCTTGAGCGTACAAAGCGGCTAGAAACATTAGTTTCAAAGATCAATTTAGTTAAAGACTGATGCTTACCAGCTTCGGGAGAGTAGTTCATGGCACGGGGGTTCTTATCCAAAGTAATCCCCTTCTTCTCCTGTTCAGCCAAGAAGCCGGCGGCTTTCTCGGCATGGTTGCCCTTGGGGGTAATGTCAACAGCAAAATAGGGGTGACCCTGAATATCACCGTGATCAGTAGAAGAGATACGGTCCTCGTTTCCCTCCTCCAGCATGCCAAGGAAGACAATAAGAGGCGAGGTCTTGGTGGAGTCGAAGTTCTTGATAGCTTCGTCCTCGGTATGCGCAAAGGGTTCTGATCCGACCAGCGGTTGGATCTCATTGAAAGTGAAATATGCTGGCGTCTTCTTATCGACAACCAAAGGGTTTAGTTCACTGAGAGCCATGTATCGGGCTGTGGGACTGGCAGCAGCCTTGCGAAGAAAGCCAGTGTCGGCACGGAGGAAGGAGAATCGGTTAATGGAACTTCCGGCATAGTAGTTGACGACCTCCTTTCCAAAGCGACGGGTCAACATGGAATCGTCGCTTGCAAGAGCTGCGACCACTGGAAGGTCAGGTACTTGGGTGGCTGATGACATCGGACAGTCTGCACAAAGGCGCTTGAGTTCTGTGTTTGTATTTGTAATTGACCTGAGAAGGAATCAGATGCGGAATCAACAAACACTTAGGTGTCGATGTGAGAAGTGAAAAGGTATTTGCTGTTGGACGACAAAACTTGAGCCTTTGGTGGTGATTCTAAGATACGCTGAGATCTGCTATCGGGCACCAAAGAGGCGAGTTCTTATAAGCAAAGTGGTAGTCGGATTTAAGTCCGAGGGACAGCGACCCGTTATTTCCTTCTAGGGCTAGCGGTGAGAAGTTGCAGCGATTTGAGGTGAGGTAGAGTGACAATATTGCGGCGACTGCGGCCCTTTTCGACCTCTGCAGTGCGGAATGAAGTTTTGGTGAGTCATGATATTTTGTGATTGGTTTTTGTTCTAGAGAGAGAAAGATGCGATTGATTTGTTTGTTGCCTGCTTCGCTTTTTTTGGTGTTTGTCATCTAGTAACGTTGGATAGAGATATGATATGATATGACCTCATTTATCATATCAATCCATAATCAGATTGACGAGATATAACTTATGCGCAATCTTGCATTCAACAACCCCTGAATTTGTCCAAACAACCTCCAATTGGCTGTTTTCTTATGCCAATTCTGCATCGCAACTAGCATCAGCTATTCTGCATCAGATCTGGATCTTCGAATTAACCTTTCTCTCTTTCAGGGCGCTGCCGAATTCGGACCATCCACTGGCACCCGCTGTCCTTGGCCAAGCCCAGGGCATCTCTAGCGCAATCTTCCCCGCAATCCATACCTAATCCTCTCTATGATACAGTGACGTCTTTATCTGGGGCACGGGACCATTCCTTGACTGAAAAAAAGTCTGTCATCCCCAACCCTGACTCTACTCTTGTCTTGCCTTGTCTCTCCCTTTATGTTGCGCTCTCAGCCTCGCGTCGCCAGACTTTCTTAACATCCAGCAGCAAATTTTCTTAGACGAAGTGCTCCCTATCGAGATTGACGAATGCGATAACAGCACGACTCGATTGTTTTTCTCAGCCTGCTAGGACGGTTTTTGTTACCAGCTGGGGTGGACTCTGTAGTCTGCCACCTGTCCAGGGTTCATCATGACTCCGCCAACTGCGAATCTGAATCTTGATGTTGAGGCTATCTCGGGCATTTGCGGGTATGTCTCTGATCGTTTTGTATCCCAATGCTATCGGCTGCTAATAATTATTGTTTTAAAGTTCAATTTCAATTGCCTGCTGGGGTATGTGACCATGACTCGTTCGTCTCCCTACCTATTGAACACTACTGATCGCAAATAGTCGTTGTCTTCTCTCCTCAGATTATCCAAAACTTCCAGCGCGGCAGTGCCGATGCTCTCTCGATTCAATTCATCATTGTTTGGCTTCTTGGCGATGTCTTCAACATTCTGGGGGCCGTTCTTCAGGGCGTTCTGCCGACTATGGTATGATTCACGCTCAGCTTGCGCTGGTATTGGTAAACTCAAGTCACTAACCCAATTCGTTTTCTAGATCATTCTCGCAATCTACTACACGATCGCAGATATCGTTCTCCTCGGCCAGTGCTTCTACTATCGCGGTTTTACTTGGCGCGACGCCCCGACCCCTGCGCCAAAGCCGACCACCCCGGCCCCTGGTGAACCCAACGAGCGTACAGGACTTATTGCTCACGATGACCGCCGCGGCTCAGACTGGTCTGGTTTGTCGCCTGCCGTTCCTCACATTGCCGAAGATGCTGCACCTCGAACTCCGACCGTCCTCCAGACCCTTATCTGGAACACCATCATTGTGCTGATGGTTATTGCTGCTGGTGTTGTTGGCTGGTTCTTGGGCCAAAAGGCCTCTCACGGCAAAGAGGATGGTGATACCAACGTCGGAGGCGAGGACAACCTTCACTTCAGCCTTTCCGGTCAGATCTTTGGATATCTCTGTACTGTCGCATACATCGCTTCTCGGCTACCTCAGCTCATCCTGAACTGGAGACGCAAGACGACAGATGGGCTTAGCATGCTCTTCTTCCTCTTTGCTTGTCTCGGAAACATTACCTACGTTCTGTCCATCTTTGCCTACGATCCCAAGTGTAAGCACGATGAATGCAGGCCCGGTGAGGCTCGTCACATCTATGGCAAATACATTCTGGTCAACTTGAGCTGGCTGGCTGGCAGTCTTGTCACCCTCTTCCTCGATCTGGGCGTCTTTGCTCAATACTTCATGTATAGCAAACCTGAGGCTATCGCAACCCCCACCCGCCGACGAATCAGTGAGAACGTTGTCGAGGAGGACGAGTACGAAGATGACAGCGACAATGAGGACAGCTGGGATCAGCGGCCCCTACTCCAAAGGGGTGACTCTGTCTACCACCCGTGATCTATCTTCAATGTCCTACAAAGCTCATACTTGGGATGACAGTTTTTTGTTCTGCTTTGTTTCGGCTTTCATTTGTTCTCACATCTCCCTAGCTGGTTAGGGCGCATACAGGATCAAACAATGGCAGGCGTTTGCTATTATGTGACAGGAAAGGAAAATAAAATAAGAAGGGTGGCATAAGGATTGGACCGCTCTTATAACGGAGTTGGGTATATGTTGAATTTACAAGACATTAGATCGGCTCGCCTCTGTGGGGCTCTGCCTATCCATAGCATGAAGCAGACAGCTTTTGGGCATTTCTGGAGCAATCAACATTCTGCTAAACATACCCTGTGTTCATTGGAGAGATATTGTAGAAGATAGTCGTAATAATCGTATGATCAGCTACGAACCATACATGCTGGGCTCGATCAAAACAAGCCAACATTTCTGACACAGAAATACTCTTGTCAATTTTGATAGTAACAGCTGTTGGCTGGTTGCCTTGAGCAGATGTCCTTTGATTGTTTAAAATAAGTCCAAGGCTATAGGGTACCGGGTATGTTACAGCCATTTTTGCTTGGTTTCTCCAATCTCCAAGAGCTGATTAGGAGTTTTACTGCGTACGTACGAAGGGCGCTGTTAGATTACTGTGAGGTCACTTTTGCTCGTCTTACTGGTGTATCAGTATCAAGGCCTGCGGTGAGTCTATGAGCCATGGTTGCCATACTGTAGTCTGAATCTACCACTCGAGTTTATCTCCAAATGCTACCCTTGAGTCCATCTTCGAACCTTCAATTCTGTTGCCTCGGTACGGATATTCTTACCTAGGTAAACCATGTCTATCGTACTCGCCCGGTCCCGATCTTGTTGTATGCATAGAAGACACAGAATCATACAAGCAAAAGGTTGGTGGTAATGCAGAGAAGCTGACGATATAATTTTGTCTCCTCTGGTCGAGTTTTCACTTCCTCTAAATTTGGTCGCACTAAACCTATATGAGAGGCCATGCCGATACGTTAACCAGACATCTCGGCGCAATTGAGCTCAAGAGTCCACCCAGAAATGGGACAAAGAGATTTGAACCCCAAAATGCAGCATCGAGAGCCAAACATATTGTTCGACCCACTGAGAAGTTGAAGTCAAAGTCTCCACATGCCAGAATATTATGTAACCCAGCGAAAAAAAGGTCCCACAATGCCGGGTTCCCAGCCCCCCGACTAATCAGGACTAGCGCAATCAGTGGCAGAATTTCGAATATAAAAATCCTCTCTTCCGCCGACCTTTGTCCTGTTTTTTCTTTTGTTCTTTACATCAGTAGAGTAGACTTTCACCGTCATGTGAATTTATACTTTAATGGCGGCTCCGCTTTGCGGCTTGCTGAGAGTCAGACCTTTTCGATGTCTGGTTCTCCGTTCCCGGCCCCCTAAAGTAATGTGATCGCTCTTCCTAATCAGCCGCAGACCATCAGAGGTCTGTGACTGTGGGGTGATCTCGACATACCATATTAAATGTGTTCATTTTGAACATGAACACCTTCGTAAATCGCGTTTGCGCCAGGTTTCCACACGGCTTAGAGATGCTTCGTCGAGTCCTGCCTTGTGCCGAGCTCGTTTCGCGGTGAGGCTCTGCTTCTGTCTCGACAGCTTCAGTGTCACTCAAATCGAGCACCATTGATGAACCTGTGCCAACGCGTATAACAAAATATCTTGATGCTTCAAATGTCACTATGCGTGCGGCAAGAGTCATGATGCTGAATTTTCATGGTCTTTTGGGGACTGCTACGCCGAGACTGTCGCCCAGTATGCAAAAATTTCTCCAGCAAAGACTTTTTCGGCAGCGCCTGAATAAAGCCACCAAAATCTGCAGCACGATTCGGCAGCACACGTACGGCCCGACAAACGGTACAAACACCTATAATACTGCTCCGATGATGTAACGCCTTAATATCGTGTCGTCTTTGTCTGCGACAAGACTGAGTGCTGGGTCTGCACAGGTATTTGCAAGGTAGATTGTATGGATCGCGGGGTTGCTCAAGTTTCATACTGCAATGCCAAAGTAGTCAATCGTGGGACTCATGATGGGCTCAAGTACCTTATCTATCACTATCAATACAAAACATGAACCTATCTGCATTCTAAGCATCTCGCTGTAATGCTTCCTAATCATCATCATCGGGTGAAAGGCCGTGATAGCACGTGACAGAACTTGGAGGAATCTTGGTTCTGGGTGGGTGGGGACCAAAAAAATCTAAACCCGGAGAAGGCCTTCAGGTTGCCCGAGATTCGGACAAGACTTGCCTTGCGACTCTGGTTTAATCCACCCAAACTCCAATTCTCGAACGGTCACTGTCCTTCACATATTCGGTCATATCTAATCATTCACAATGGGTTCTATCTGGAACGCTTTCACTGGCGGCAACAAGCCTGGCCACCAGCAGCAACAGTCTCAGTCACACTCGCAGCCCACGACACAAGAACCCGCGCATTTCTCCTACGACCCCACGGAAGGCCAGGGCGTCGAGTCCTTCCTCCAGAGCTCTACCTTTGCCGACCCCTCGCAATTACATCCCCTCGCCGGCCTCAACAGAGATACGCTCGAATACATTTCCCTTGAGGACTCAGCCTTGTCCGAGCTGCCTGGTGGCCAATCAGTCCTGCCCTCGCGTGGCTTCACAGACGACTTGTGTTACGGTACCGGAATCACATATTTGGCCGGTTTGGGAGTTGGAGGTGCTTGGGGTCTGCAGGAGGGTCTCAGAAGATCGGCCGGTCAGCCTCCTAAGCTGCGATTGAACGCTGTCCTCAACTCGGTTACTCGACGAGGACCCTTCCTCGGTAACTCGCTAGGTGTCGTTGCTATTATCTACAACTGCATCAACTCTTTGATTGGTAGCCTCCGTGGGAAGCACGATGCCGGAAACACTATTCTTGCTGGTGCGCTGAGTGGTATGCTCTTTAAGAGCACTCGCGGTGTTCGTCCCATGGCTATCTCTGGTGGTATTGTGGCCTCTGTAGCCGGTGCCTGGGCTGTAAGTTTCACAACTGTGTTCGCTGAATATTCCCGTGCTGACTTCTGTAAAGATTGTGCGACGATCCTTCTTCCCTATTCCCGAGCCCATCTCTGCGGCATCTGATGAGCTTGCTCTGTAATAACGTTATGATATTTCTATTCACCGTTGTCGTCAAATTGGTCGACCCGTTATAATCGCGCCCTTGTAGACAAGGCGGCGCCAACGAAAAAAAAAAGATGAACGAAAAGAGAGAGGCAAGCCGAGAGAAGGACGAGGTACGGGATGGGATTCCCATTGTATAAGATAGGTATGGCGTGACTACAGCGTTCGACGGAGTTTGGTAGCATGGCAACGGACATCTCTCCTCCCATGGGCAAATGTACATTACATCAGGTTCGGTCAGCGAGCATTAGACGAATGTGATAGGGGACGGGCGTCTGGTCATTTAATGATACAAATGTTTGAATAGTAGCCACGAAGTTCATGGCAATGTTTTGAGACCATTGACCTAATCTGTGCTGCGTCCTTTGTCAGTTGGCACTGGCGATGCAGTTGCCCGGAGTTATGATAGCGCTTGCCCATCTCATTCACATCTTCATTCACCGTGGCAATCAAATATTTCTTCTACTTCCCTATGGATCCTGCCGACTTTCTATTCATCTTTGCTCGCACCCCGCGCGGCGCATCTCAATATTTGACTTCTTCACCCACAACCTTTCCAATATGAACGAAAACGACAAGATCAGTACGGAGTCATTTCCAGTCTCCCAGCTTACTGGAGAACTACCGCCTGCTACTCAGGATGATCATCTGCCAGTCACCCATCCTCTCGCTGCTGAGGACAATATCCAGGAGGGCAAAACATTGGCGCCCTCAAAGAAGCCACCCAGACCACCTCGCAAAGTTCCTACCTCCAGCCAGGAACCCGCTACCATGAACCCCAAAGACTTCAAAGAGCTCATGATACGACTTCGCCTTGATACCTGGAAAGCAAACGCTCAAGTTGTGCCTATCCAAAACCAGGTCGACGTAACAGCCTTTTGGAGTCCACAGTGGGCAGGCATTATAGCATCCGACCATTGGATGAATGTATTCGATGGCTTCGACCGACTTTGGGTTATACCGTTCGATTCGGAAACACCTTTGCCCGCAGAGAAGCAGGCTATCGCAGACAATCTCAAGAAACGTCACAATGAACTTCGGGACGTGTATCGCTCAAGAACGGCCCAAGATAGAAGCTTCCATAACAAAATGCTACGTCTTATTGAAGACGAGGTCAAGGAGACTTGCCAGAATCTTTGGGACGCAAATTTCTACGAATCTCGTATGGCCTCGACGCCCTGGAATGAGGTCCGGCAGACATACGACCTCCCTACTTTGGTCTCCATGATAGCCCGAACTCGACTACAGAACGAGACAGAACAGCTGCCCGGATACCACAAAGTCCTTGTTCTTGAATTAGGAACTAACCGTAAAGTAACCTACCAGCGCATCAGTGTGCCTATTGGCAGCAATCTGAACGGACTCGTCTCGCGTTTGGACAGCTGGTATCCCCACGACGATGAGCACAGCGCCCACATTATTAAGCGTTTCCGTCAGAAACTTGATTCTCTTTGGAAGCGTGGCGATGAAACTCAAAAGCGGAAGCTACAATCGATGCACCGACAATTGGATCGCTTTGTCACGCCATCTGAACAAGACTGCGAGCTGTCTCAGTGGATCTTCAGGTTATGGATGAAAACTGACTACAGTATCCCCTTTGGAAAATCGCCAGACCGTGTCGGGACATGGACGAGGTTGAAGGAGGATACATACCAAGAGCTACTCACTGGCTTGTTAGCCAAGAAACATCCGATTTTTGTTAGAGTGAGTCCAGCCAGCGCCCAATATATGAGTTTCAACTGACAACATTTCACTTAGCCCTGGAAGATTCGACTTCGCCGATTGTGGACCGAGATAGAGGAGCTTGAGAAGCAGGTCGAAGAGGGGCATGGTGAAATTGGTCTTTCCGTAGAGCAGCTGGAAATGGTGGACTTGCTGCTTGTATACCGGACTGACGAGGAGAGAGAACAAGCGGCGAAGTCTAAACAAGCCCTTAACATGGCGAAGATGGCAATACTCTGAAATATGTCAATATTTGCAGCTGTTGATGATCGATGGTATATTAAGACTGGAGACTCGAGGGATGGGGAGCTTATTTGCCCAGACAAAGTACTGTATGATATAGGCGGATGATACTGACGTCCAAGGATGAGTCCAGGATGATGTGCGATTACTACTGTTGCTAAATGCGCACTTTGCTTGGGTAGGTAGCTTGCTTTTATTCTATCTTCCATGATTGCGAAATCAGCTGATTTTAATTAATAAATGAGGATACGAGAACCTTTTATCCGTCAACGGATTGTAAGCAACAAGCAAGGGCGGTGACGCAAGAAAAAGAACAATATGTATCTATTACAAATAGCGACTGTCGTTTAATTGCTTGTGATGGTTGCTTGGAAGCAGACGCACTGCCATAGTGATGAGCGAGTGCCAAAGCGGGACGAAGACTCGTGCCTATCGTCTTCACTCACACTCAGCTTCAACATACAACAAACACAACGACCCTGAGAACCAATCTACCGACCTAGACAACTTTACTCAAAGAATGTGTCTCCCTTGCTTCCCTTGGACTTGGTCCAAGTACGAAGATCCTTTCGACGGGTTGCACAAAGCCCCTGAGCAGTCTGTATGGGTACATGATGGGCAGAAATGGGAGCTGCAAAAAGTGGTAAGATATGCAGATTCTTTATCTCAATTACTTTCAGTTGCTTTTTGCTTTTGATTCTATTCGAATTCACCATTTGATCTCCTTCGCTCCTTTGAGAGGTGAAATATGCGAAAGTTGAATGCCTTTCACTTGGGAATCATTTGCCAGTGACAGCCACGTGGGAAACCAAACTGCGCCTTTCGCCTTTATCTTCGAACCTGGGAGATTAGGATTGTAAACATTGCCTTGTGCAGCGTTTGCATGATTCTTCTTCACCGGCCGAGACTCTTATCTTTTCGAGCTGTTCTTTCGTTCTTTCGTTCCGAATCCTCCTTTCTTTCCTTCTTCATCGAAAAAAGGCATTTCATGCATCGAGGTCCCTGAATCACGGGCCTCCTGAGAGGAGTTTTTCTACCTCAATTGTTTGAGTTGCACACGTAAAGAAGAAAAAAAGAAGCAATCATGGCTTCGGCAGGCGCGAACCCCTTCAAATCTCCCAAAACGCCTCGGCGAACCAAAACTCCCGAGTCTCGTCAAGTGCATTTCGAGCCTGAGGCTAAACCGGCAGTCACTGCTCCTTCATCCTCATCGACTGGTGGCTTCAATACCGATCGCATCACGGGATACACTACAGCCAATTCTCCTAGCGGTGGCTTCAGTGCTGGAGTCAACGGCGTCTCTGCTCCCAAGACCCCTCCTGGAATCAAAATCGCTGCTCCAGCTACTTCTTCTACCTCTGCCTCTACTTCTGCCCCCGAGAAAAAGGTAGAGACTCAGCCTACAAACTTCCCCGCTCTTGGATTAGGCGCCAACCAGCTGCAGTGGCATTACAGTGCCAACCCGACTCAGAGTCTCGGTCACCAGCTGCCGACCAGTTTCATCTCGCCACCTCCTCAAGCCTTTCAGCAACAATTCTTCTCCCCTCCTCAATTTCATCCTGCTTCCTACATCAACACAGGACCAAACAACATCACCCCATCTCCATCTCCTACTCCGACTCCCATCACATATATCGGCGTAGGCCCTCAGTCTCCTGCTCTCAACCTCAACCAAGCCAACACGATGGGCGACTATCAGAACGCTGCGCCTCCTGTCCACGGGCTGCACTTCCAGCCGCCCGTGCCTGATACCACGTTTGGTCCTATGCAACACATCTACGTGCCTCGCCATGATGGTGGCCTTGCCGGTCTTCAAGTCGGTTCCCCTGCTTCTTTTAATTATGTTTCTGCTGCCCCTTTTACTATTGCCCCCGCGACCTTGACTACACCCTCCTCATCTTATAATACCGTCGTGGTGCCAAAGACATTTTATCTCAATGGCTATACCTACTATGCAAGTCTGCTTTGCTGGTTCATCCCTTTGTTCTGTCTTTCATCCGGGACTTGTCTGAACCAAGCGGTTCAGTGCATCTGTTCTGTACCATGGAGCGAGGGGCTGTATTTTTTGTCTCCTTCATTCACTCTGCAAAAAGTCCATTGCTTTTATGAACATATACTGACTGGTTTTACAGCAGCCAGCTGTCGGTACCATGGCTCCCCAGCCTAGTGCCTACGGAGGCTATGTTGTTCAGCAGCAGCAGCAGCCCTACTACGTCCAGCAGCCGACCATGGGCCAGCAGCCAGTTCTCATCGCAGGTCAGATGCCGCAGGTGCAGCAGCAGCAGTTTGTACCGCAGATGCAGCACGTCCCAGGCGTCCCCGCGGTCGGTCTGGCGGGCGGAACTGCTGTGCCCGGCACGGTCCCCGTCTTTGCAGGTAATGTCCCTGGTGGTGGTGGTTGTTCTCAACATATCCCCGAAGTCATGGGTGTTGGTCGTACTGCGGGCGAAGAGCAGCTCCGTCAGATCAAGTTTGCGCATGCGAACAAACTGCACGAGCCTCAGGACTTTAAGCCCGCTGATGATGACCCTTCCCGTTTCTACTATGTCCGTGAAGTTGACGGGAACTGGACCCAGCGCAACCGATTTACCATTGATCACATGGGCGATTCCAAGTGGTATGTGACCGACGAGGGATGGTTCTATGCCGTCCGACTTCCCAACTAGGCGAAGCGTCTCGTAAGTATCAATGAACTGGTCGGATTTTTGCCATGGGCTGACCAGATTTTACAGGCGAGCCACGGTGCACGAAAAGCACGAGAGTGGCAGAAGAAGATAATACGCGTCCCCAAGCCCGCACACCTCCTCGATTTGTGAGAACCCACGAACCCCGCATGCGAATAACTCTGAGGCTGACAGGTTTTAGTTGACTCAAGACCGATGTAAGCAGATTATCTGCTCAACAATGCGATACCAATCAATCAACGGTCAACTGTCAACGGCCAATGGCACATGGGTTAAAGCGATGAGGGCGCGTTATGAGATTGCGAAAGGGGGCAAACTACCTACTTGGTACATCATATGGAAATTGCTTCACAGAATTATTTCTGCTAGGGTTCTCTCGTTGTATTAATTGAATCTGCAAATTCATCTGTAAAGAAGACGGAAATGGTCTTCACATGTTGCCTTTGAGATGTCGTTGCCTTGATATGGTTAAGCACATATTCAAGTGGGGTTCTCCGGTTCCGTACATCCTCGGTAATTGCATCATCTACCTATCCAAGGTTATCATATCATTCCGTAACAATTACAAGACCATCATCCCATCTTCAAGATTAAGAAGCGACACCTTGCGTATTCAACTTTGGGCAATCCCTAAGAGCTTCGCTTACGAGATAATTGGAGCGCATATTAACTTCTGACTTGGCGACAAACAAGTTACGCAATCATGCTTCTCATCGGCCTTACAGGCTCGATTGCCACTGGCAAATCGACAGTCTCATCAATGCTATCTTCACAGCCCTATAATCTGCCAATTATAGACGCAGACATTCTAGCACGCAAGGTCGTGGAGCCCGGAACCCGCGGGTACGAAGCCATTGTTAAGCACTTTGGACCTACAACACCAGAGCTACTTGTGGAGCCGTCAGATAAAATGCCAGAGAATGGACCTGATGGCAAAGGAAGGCCATTGAACAGACCAGCTCTTGGAAGAAGAGTGTTTGGCGACAGTGAGGAGAGGAAGAAGGACCGCTCAGTACTCAATCACATTGTGCACCCAGCTGTGCGGTGGGAGATGTTCAAATCCGTGGTTGGATACTACTTTCGTGGTCACTGGGCAGTGGTGCTTGATATCCCACTACTCTTCGAAAGCGGTCTCGATAAGCTCTGCGGAGTTGCAGCTGTAGTTGCTGTCCGTGACCCGGCCATTCAGATGCAGCGCCTGCGAGCGCGCGACCCTCACCTCAGCGCAGAAGATGCCAAGAACCGAGTGCGCAGCCAGACTGATGTACGAGAGAAGGCTCAGCGATGTGAGGAGCGGGGAGAAGGCAAAGGAATTGTACTCTGGAACGATGGGTCTCGAGAGGATCTGCATGAGCAGCTGGACAAGGCGATCAAGGGGTTGAAGAAGGAGAACCCGGACTGGTGGACATGGCTATTGCTTGGATGCCCGCCTCTGGCTGTTGCGGTTGCGACGTGGAGGTTCTGGCAGAATCTCATCATCAACGAGAGGTGGGAGGAGAAGAAGCTGCAGGCGAAATTGTAGGATCTTTCACTGGTGTCTACCATGGTACTCAGTTGAGAACACAGAAAGATAAATAAACAAAAAAGATCAAGAAGAGATCATGATGTACAACTTCTTTCATAGTGCGATTTCCAAGAGAAGGAATTGCATCATCGGAATCTAGACATCCAGGTGAATAGCAGAAGACTTGTCCTCTAAGGCTTAGGCTACTACAATAAAGTAGCCTAAGTGCTAATCTGAGATGACACAAAGTGACCAAAGTATTTCGTCGCTTATGCTTTCGCGGGCCAATTCTTCTGATCCCTTGAGGTCATCCAACAGTAGGCAAGCCAAGAAGAGATCATACCATGAATTGAAATTTGCCCGGATAGGGGCTAGAAGAAAAGTACTAACCCATAGTCCTGCCTCGCTGCCTACCTGGGCGTCAGGGTGTCTGAGGCCTAAGGGATGGAATAATTCAGTTGGTTTATGCCATCTTAGACTAGCAATTTCTAAGCCTTAGACATCAGATTGATTCACTCTTTCCCTCCACATACAACCAAACTACCTAATTCACCTGAAGTTGTTGGCCCGCGGTGAATGCAGACTACCTAGGCAGGCACCCTCCAGCAGCTGCCTTCTCCACCCCAACTATTTTCATTCTTCCGCGCCTTTCAATATCTCATCTCAAAGCTTTCAAACACTCAACACTGCAGCCCTGGCTAATATCCAGAACGACCTCAGCTGCGATCTCAGGCAACATGTGAGTCGCTCTGGTCCTCCTTGTCTGTAACAAACCTTTTTCTAATACGGTTGCAGGTCGGATGCTAAGCCCCTCTGGATCGTCGATCCGGACAATTCGGAGAAGAAGCTCGACAAGGACCGTTTTTCTCACATGATGAACAAAAGGTGGAATCGAATCACCAAGAAAGGGGTCTCGGAAGCCGAAATGCAGGCCCATGAACGCATCATCGACACGATCAAAACCCAAGACATCCGAGAGATAGGAGATGTGCCTCTCCCGTCATCTTGGGCAGAAGTCACTGCGCTCAAAATCCTATTCCCCGATGACTTCCTCGCATCTAACTATGCAGTTGTTGCCCAGGAGAAGTTCCCCAGGGCGAACATCGGCCAGTGGAATCCTAATGAGCAGGGACCCACGACCGCTTCCAGTTGGAAGAAAAACAAATATCGACTTCAACGTGCGAACACAGTCAAAGCTGTTCAGGAGAATTCAGGACCACCCAAGCGCTCACGATCCAGCAAGACTGCCGAGGAGGCAGGTAACCCTTTCAAAAAGCAACGTTTGGCTTCTCCAATTCCTATCGAGGACACCATCACCAACACAGTCACTACTCAGCAAGAGACGTCCCCTCCCCCACCTAGCACTGAGCTACAGCTCGCCACTGAAGGCTCTGACGACTCTGAGGATTCCAACGAATTTTGGAGTGAGTTCGACGAACATCTTGCTCCGATTCGCAAGGCAGCCAAAGAAGGCTGTGAGATCACCCCCCGAATGCTGACCCAGCTTCGAAACGCCCACCTGATGGAGCTCAAGAAACAGCGCACGAATATACTCATCAAGAGGATGACTCAGAGGCATGCGCGGGAACTACGACAAGTCCGAAGCAGGTACGAAGGTGTTATCACAACCTGGCTCAAGGGTATTGCCAACGGAGTGAAGGTACTCCAGAAGACTCGTCGTGAGCTCTCACTGGTTGAAGAGAGCGTGAACTAAGGATCATTGCGTGTGGCAGTGTTTTCAAATAGAGGATAAACTAGCCAATTTCTGATAGCATGGCTCATCAACTGAGGCATTAGCTTCTATTGCTGTATCTCAAACAGCCGAGTTACGTATTTATGATTCACGTCCCTAGTGCTCAGGTGAAATGTAAGAATTGCATATGCGTATTTTGTCTATGTGCAGATATTGCTCAAGAACGCTAATCGCCTTGCTTTTGTTCGCTAATAAAACTTAAAATATTACATCATATATACATTCCATCAACTCGTACGTTATACTGGGTATCCATAATCTTATCAACAATCATTCATCGTAGATGCTCAGAAGAAGCTTCGGAGCACTCGCTTAGGGGCGTCAGCCCAGACGAAGGGCTCCTTGGGCTCCTCCTCCTCAAGGAAAACTGCGCCAGTGCTGAGATCCATCTCGGAAGGACGGACATACATCTGCCACTTGCGAGTGCAGACCTTGTAACCGATGTAAAGGATAGCGACAGAGAAGAAGGCCAGGTAAGAGCTGAAGAAGGCCTCGGCGGCGGGGGAGGCTCCAGAGGCAGGGTAGAGAGCAGTGTAGAAAGAGGCGATAAGGGCAAGGATGTTAAGTCCAAGGCCGAGGTAGGAACCAGCGACGCCGAAGGGAGTCTTGTAGGGGATGAGGTTCAAGTTGACACCCTGAGCCTTCATACCAGCGCGCATACGGATATGGGCAAGGCAGATGGAACCCCAGACGAAGAGGAAACCAAGACCAGTAAGGGCCAGGAGCCAGCCAAAGATCTCCATACCCTGAGGAGCGGCGCCAATGTAGGCAAGGAGACCGAAGGCGATCTGGAGGGCAACACAGTAGAGAGGGCGGCCCTTGGAGTCGATGTACTTGAAGAAGTTGGGGGCCATGTTGCGCTCAGCCATAGCCTGGATGGTCCGGGTAGAGCCGAAGGTGCAGGAGTTGGCAACAGAGAGGACAGCAATGGTGATGACAGCGTTCATGATGCTTGGGAGGACCTTGATACCAGCATCCTGGATAGCAAGAACGAAGGGAGAGGCCTTGGTGTTGGCACCGCTGGCACCCATGAGACGCTCGTCGTTTGCGGGGAGGATGAGACCGACGATGAACAGGTTGAGGATGTAGAAGATGGCAATTCGCCAGAAGACCTGCTTGCTAGCCATAGGGATAGATCGGCGGGGGTCGGCGGACTCAGCAGCAGCAAGACCAACCATCTCAGTACCACCGAAGGAGAAAGCAGCGACGACGAAGACAGCACAGAAACCCTTGAAGCTGGTGAAAGCACCAGGGTCGTGCCAGTACTTGGTGCCGATGTAGCCCTGATCGCCAACACCACCACAGTTGATGACAATACCGAGGATGATGAAACCAACACAGGCGCAGATCTTGATGATGGAGAGCACAAACTCGACCTCACCGTATCCCCGAACACCGAAGAACTGGATGCCAATGAGGGTGACAAGGAAGACACTGACCCAGACAGCCATGTTGATATCTTCTCTCCAGAACTTGATGGTGATAGAGGCGGCGATCAGTTCGAAAGGAAGCACGGTAAGCCAAGCAAGAGCGTATTGCCAACCGATGGCGAAACCCCAAGAAGGATCGACGAAGCGGCAGATGTATGTGAAGAAGGCACCGTTGACGGGGTAGAGGACAGCCATCTCAGCCAGGGCCAAGCATGTGCAGAGAAGCATGATACCGATGATGAGATAACCGATGAGGAGAGCAGCAGGGCCACCCTTCTGAAGGGCACCACCTGAACCGACGAAGAGACCAGCACCGATGGCACCACCTATTGACAGAAGTTAGTAATGTGCTGGGTATTGAAGGGAAGTGGTGAAGTCATACCGATGGCAATCATCTGCATGTGTCGGTTCTTGAGATCTCGCTGGAGACCACCGTTCTTGACCTCACCGGTCTCGACATCGCGGGTTTCGCTGACATCGAGAACGGCCTCCTTGCCGTAATCAGCTGGGGGAGTAGAAGCCATGGCTACTATTCGTGGGTGGAAGTGAGTGAAAAGTAGTGTATGAGAGAGAAGAGGAGAGGAGAGATGATGATGTTGAGAGTGATGAAAGCTCTTGGTTCTTCAATGCCAACAAGGAGGGAGAGTGCGTGGGTATTTGTAGTCGAATCCTTGACATTGTTGCACGATATACCGATAATATGGATGGAGCTGTTGCAACGTTCTAGATTTGGTGGCGCTGGGGTCAGACTAGAGTGTAGACTTGGGGTTGGAGATGGAGATGGAGAGCCTAGGAGAGCTTAGAGTTAATGGTGTGCAGAACGGGCAGTCTAACCTATCCTGCTTTGCCCCAAAGAGTTTATCTCGAGACTAAAGAGCAAATTGATGAAGCTATTGGCTCGTCAACTTGCAGCTAACCATATCGTGGTGGGTACGAGATTTTCATGCCGGCCTTGACTACAGTAACACAGCAGTACTAGACTAATTAGTTTGCCCCCCCTTATCTGGTTCCCGTCTTGGTTCCTTGTCTTTTCTCTCGGCGAGGGCGAGAGGCTTCACACCCGAAAATCGCATCGTCCTAGGCCGGCCCGGTCAGGTCAGAGGTCTGGATCTCGAAAACTTGGGATATGGCTCGTGCTGTTTCAATAAACGGTTGATAATCTATCGCGCTTAATTCGCCTGTTATCTTTACTGACTCGTTGTCAGATCCACGAGAACAAAGTTGTTGAAAATGCTACCCAATTCAGTGTGTCAGATTCTTATTCTGTACTGTACTTCCATGGCGTGAGCGGCACATGCTCAGCACTACACAAATACCTTTCACTTTCAGCTGCATCCTGTTGAATGTCTGAGACTGTTTTCTCCAGGCGCCGAGTAATGACGCTTGTAGCGTATGATCCTTTGGTCTCAACGCCTTGTCCGCAACCAACACAACGCCTGTAATGCGGCCCCGCAGATAGATTGGGCTACATTTGGAAGGTCATCATCACGAATGGAATGGCCCTTGTCCATGATTCTGGATACTAGATCAATCGATACACCATGTTCATATCGTGTTGTCATTGTGAACCGACTGTTTGGGTCAAGATCCAGGTCCAGGTGCAGCTCCAGCCTTGCCCAGACTCTGAGATCTGCAGTCACTGTCTCGTTTAGTTGGGTGTAGAACTTGGCGATCTTGGCGATTCAATGCCATGCTTTGCCAATAGATCGCCAAGGACCTCCAAAATTTTGACAGCTAAAGCGCGGAGACTCCAGCCCAGCTCCCTTGAACCGCTCGCTTCCTCCCCCACATGCTCCAAGGCCAAGGCCATGACCACCCTCACGCGGCCGCCTCTACTCAAAACAGAAACAGGGTTGTGCTAGAAAGCTTCCAGACTGCCCTCCATCTCTCATATCTCTGTCGTTCATTGGCTCTGGGTAATTCCATGCACCGGTGGTACCAGCGAATATGGAACCATGTCCATGCTAGACTAACTACAGTATCCCCTAGTGAGTTAGTGAATTTGGAGGCATCTTCCCCTCACCCGCCGACTTCGCAGCTGTTTGACCGCCAACCTAGCAATAGGAGAAATCGTTATCTTTCTCTTGGCTGGTTATCTTAAATTTTTCTATCTTTGGCGTCTTCTTGGCCGAAAAACTCCAACACTGATAAAGATTGTGGCTTAAAAATCTCCTCACCAAGAGTTTCCCCTCATGGAGAAGACTTCACCTCGCCTTACGCAGGCCAAGACTGAAGATTCAACAATGTCGTTAATTACGTTATATCTGATTGACTTTCCGGGGAAATGGAGTCGATGCCTTGATCGCCACGAGGCCTCCCCCAGACTATCGTATTCTCAAAACCTGGGGATTCTCCAGCCTCTCGAGTCTAGACACTCAACGTAACGATTCCATTACGAAATCGTTTCCATTACATCTTGATCATGTTTCTGGGGTAAAAGTCTTGCGCGTAATTTCACTCTCCCTGGTTCGTTCGGAGAGATCCATAGTTGTAATTGACTCCAATTATTAGCCTCTTCATACTAACTTGTTCAAGAAGGTGTTGACACATCTTGTGCGGAGAACACGTTCATAGTTTCCACTGCGGAACCGTCAGCCCGTTCTAGACCTCTTTCTTTCCTCTTTTCTCCATGTAAGATTTCTTAGTCGTTTGTTTGGTTTAGCAAGTACTGTACTGTGAATGAAATTCCCACGTGAAGCCATCACATAACATAAACATTTGCTGTCATCACTGATCAAGGCATGATTTGACCGGTGGCGTTCCTAGCATACATACTAACTCCGTGAAACGAGTCGTACCATTCATTAGCTGACTTTTTATGCCGGCTCTTGCCAGCTTGATACGTATTCCACTCATAGGTATGATGATCGAGATATCGATGTTGGTCGTTGGTCTCATTCTTTGTTCTGCCTAGTTGCTAGATGCTCTTTCCTGAGACATTTCCATGGTAGCAAATTGTACCCCGTTCATTTTCGGCGTCGGCAACCATTCAACATTCCCTCGCTCGTACCTTGATAGCCATACAGCGTCCTTGTTGATAGCTTCCAATGCCTCCCGAACTTGAACATTGCGCTCCAAAACCTCCGCGAGCAAGTCAAGAATATCATCAAACATCTCTTCGTCAATTTGAACATATGACACGAGAGCTGTCAATAGCTCGACCGTGCCCTCCCATAGCCGTACTGGTGATGCAAACTTCCCCAGACTACCTGAAGACGATGTGGCCATTCGCGTTAGAGGCTTGCCGCTTAGGCTTTCACAATCTCTCAGGGGTATCAACACTCGGCTATCGTCGCTTTCTCTCCCCCGCACAATGTCAGCTTCCCCATGGGGTCTGGTCCATCTTGGTGAGGCGGAAGCTTGATGTTTAATTTTGCGGCACCAATCTCGAAGCCAGTCAGCCCAGTCGGTTTTGAACCGAGAGCTAAGAAAGTCCCCAGCAGCAGCGCAAAGCCCGGCAAGAGCGTGGCATGCTTCAACCACGATGTAAGCTTCTGGGTCATGCAACCTGTCGATCATAACGGGCCAGACCGAATTAACAAGAGGTAGGAATGCCTCTTCGTCTGGAGCTAAAGCAGTGGATACAATTGTCAAAAGCTCAAGCAATGATCTCCGTAGTGTTGGCGTTGGCGATGTAAGGTAGTGCTGGGTGAGGTTTGCCACTCTCAGCAGGAGCCGGTATGTCTGAGAATTCGGCGGTTTCTCTGGTTCTGGAGGAGCTTCCACCTCCTCGCTCTCGCCATCCCCTTTATTCTTATCATCTTTCCACGGAATATTCGGATGACCTTTCACACTATCCACTTCCGACTTTTCAAGCTCAGCTCGCTGTTTTCTCTTCTCCAGGGTGTCCATGAGATCGGAAAGACCTGGTGCCTTCTTGTGTTGTTTTCTATGATCTGGTCTTGAGTTCTTTTGATGTTCAAGTAACAGCATGTCTGAAAGAACGCCCTGGTTCACAACCTCCTTCAGCACAACAAAGAGATTCTCTACAAAGAGCGGGTATCCGTGGTAGTTGTCCAATGCTCCAAAGATAGAGTCAACGACATCATCCAAGTAGGGAACCAGCCTAGGTCCAGCCAGCCGGATCATCATAGTCAAAACGTTGATCGATGCAGGTGATATGTCTAGACTGTTAAGTCTTAAAGAGACTGAGTTGACCATGTAATCAACATTCTGGATGATAAGTTCCGACACGTTGGCATATCCACAGGAAGTTGCGAGGCTGTTCAACGTAACAACAGCATGCTTTTGAAGTTGTGAATTCTTGGATCCCAAGTACGTCGCAATAGGAAAAAGGACATCGATCAGTTCGGGACGAAACGATTCTCCAGACCTTTGTGCCGTGTAAGCGGTCGCTTCGAGAGCCAGAGCTTCCAGCCGCCAATCGGCGTGTTCTGTATCTGTATGTCGATCAAGAATTTGCACAGCAGTTGTGTAGAGCTCATTGAACACAGAGTCAATATCCAGAGATGAATCCGATACAGATGATAGATTGAAGAACATCCCTTCTTCGGCGGAAGACTTGTGGCTCGCTTTCACAGTCTGGAAGCAGAGCCAAAAGGTAGCAACTTGACTAATATGGCTGTCGGAATCTTGAACTTGCTCCAACATGTTACCCGCAAACCTTGCTTGTTGCGATGCTGTACCAAGAAATGCAATTAGTGACGATAACTCGTTTCGGAGCTTCTTTTGAGATTCAGCGGGTAGTAGGACAGGCTGGTACTGTGTATCCTCGTAACCTGAGGATGACTCTCCCCCCGCTATTAGCCGGATGTCAATATTCTCATTCGTTTCTATAGCTTTTGACGCCTGCATCAAAGCTATAACACTGTCCCGAAGCATCATCGACATTGACTCATCAAGTGTCGACGATTGTATGTGTAGCTCTTTGAGCAGCTCGAGGCCCTTCAAGACATTTCGTATCGCGTCTATCTTGGCATCTTCATCAGCTGACTGCATCAATCTTGAGAGACTGGACATCCAGTTGTATGTTGTTGTCTTGACGATTTCACCCAGTTCCGGGTAGATACTAATAAGATCCCGTAGGCTAGTCTGTGTCAGAGATACCTTGGATCCAGTTTCTCCGAGTACCATAGCTGTCTCAACCAGTATAGTTGCACAGTTGGACAATGTTTTGTGGCATTCGTCAAGAAGGATCACACAGAGCTGGTTGAGAGCATTTCTGACCTCGGCTGAATCGTGAGACCGCAGTTTCATCATCGCCGCCAGCGCTTTCTTGACTTGCATAGCGCTTGCTTTAAGCCAAGCCGCAGAGAGAATCTTGTTATCATGAGGTTCGTCTTCATTTTCGGATTCATTCTTGGCTAGTATGGACCGTGTTCGAAGATCAGCCATCACACTCGTTAGCACGAGAGCGACTGTTTCTGAGCATTTGGCGAGAACGGTAGCTTTGTAATGATTGGGCGAGGATGAGACTTTTGCTAATGAAGATATTGTGCCGGGCAAGAAGCTAGCCAACGCGGCCAACTCCTTCACAGTACGGTACACAGCTTGTAAGGCCCGCAATGCTTCCTGTTGAATCTGGGGCGTGGCACCGTCAACCACTCCGTTTAGCATTACCGTTACCCCATGTCCAAGAGCAGGTATGGATTCAGTTTCCGAAAGCCCTGACGCTGCTTTTGTTGATAAACCGGCTGTGTTGAAGAGGGCTGTCAAACCACGAAAAGCTTCCAACACAGTTTCCTCGGCAACGGGGCGTGTAGGGCTAGAGTCAGGTGTCCCATCGATAATGAAAGTTAGGAGGCTGAGGATCTGCCGCACGAGTTCTGCGGAGATCTTTGCCTTCCAGCCATGTGTGATGAGAATCGTAAGCGTCTTGATGCAGTTCTCTATCAGGGGCATTGGGTATTGGTCCATCTGACGGAAGACATGGTGGAGAGGAAAGAAGACATATTCGGAGAACTTCTCATCCAGTAACAAAGGGTTTCGTTTGATCTGCTGATCGAGAATCTCAAGAAGAAGCCTCGTCTGTTCACCTAGTTCCCGGGATGAAGCTGGTGCATCGGCTTCTCGTATTGCCAATTGACTTATCTTGACGCAGCATGGTTTGAGCTATTTGTTCTCGGTGAGAAGGTATCACCCACTAAAGGATTGGGTTCCTTGACTTACTCTTTGGAAGAACTCGTTCCTCTCTTGGCTGCTAATTGTAGACTCCATGGTTGACGAAGCGAAGCGCTTCCAGCTTGCTACTCATGCATATTCTCCACAGCTGAACCAAAGATTTAACGAACACGAACGCGAGTACGCAAGTGTGTTATAGCAGACGTGAGTGTACCTAAATGAAGAGAAGGGTAAGGGTGAAGATGAATGGTTGTATAAAAACTGCAAAGCGAATTAAAGCTTGCTTCTGGTTTGTCAGTTTGACTTGAGAGGACAAAAATGGAGTGTGTGGAACTGTGACTGGAAAGAGCTTTCTGGTTGAGTTGTACAGTGTGGCAGTATATGGACACTGTACGTACTAGAGCTACCTAGCATCGCAGCTTCTTTCGTCGACCACAGAGAAGAAAATGGTTGGACTCGCATGATCACTCAACTAATATACATATGCATATTATAACTATATATTGTAATTCCTCTGTTAGTATAACTAGGAATATTGGTCAGATTTGCCTCGTTCCATCTAAATGATTCCATAGGTTTAGGTAGGCCAGGTTCCATTAGGCTCCCTCCTCTTTGATGTCATTCTCCACACCAATCAATCCGAGCTCTCTACACGGTGCTTTCATATTCATCCATACTCAGAGGTTCAAAGTTACCTACACCAGCTGAGACCATAAGTACTGCATAATTCCAGATGATCCAGTCTAGCCAGGTCAGAATCCTTCGCCAAGTGAAATCAGTACAGTCAAAGTCAAGCTTGCAAGAGAAATAAGCCTATATATTCCGGCAGATCCCCAACAGAGTGCCCCTCTATCACTCCAAGCACAAATAGTCGACTCCTTCAACACCAACATTCTCGCTCACATCTCTTGAACGACCGCTATCATGGCTCCCTCAGGTCCTTTTCCCGTTACTGTTCATCCTTTTGAGTCCAAGTGCCGAGGCTCAGCTGCCTATGAAGTAGGCCTAGCTTCTGCTCGCAATGCTATCGTCTTCATTGGTGGGCTTACTGATGGCCCGCACACTATTCCTTATACTCGGCTCCTGGCTCAGCGTTTAGAAGAAGCAGGAGACTTGGGCTACTCTGTCATTGAATTCCGCATGAGGAGTTCCTTCTCAGGCTTTGGGACCTCGAGTCTCTCCAACGACGTGGAAGACATCTCTGCATTAGTTAAGTATCTTCGAGGCATCGGAAAGGAAAGGATTGTCCTGTTTGGTTCTTCTACCGGATGCCAGGTAAGCCAACCGCCTTGCCATGCTTACCATGCAGCCACCCTAACAAGACACAGGACTGTATCGAGTATGCCGACTACCCAAAGCATAACAACGAGCCCGTGGATGGCTTCATTATGCAAGGCCCCGTGTCGGATCGTGAGACGTTGGACTTGATCATGCCCAATCCTCAGCCGAGTCTTGACATGGCGGCCAGAATGATCTCCGAAGGCAAGGGCGGTGATTGCATGCCTTTTGACATGATTCCTGCCGTTCTGGGAGCTCCGATTTCAGCTTATCGATTCCAGTCTCTGGCTAGTAAAGGGTATATTAGGCAGTCGTCCAAGTAACAACAGGCTCATGAGCTAACAGTTTTGCAGCGGTGATGATGACTACTTCTCATCAGACCTCGATGATGAAACACTCAAGAGGAACTGGTCGCGATTCGAGAAGCCAGTGCTGGTCCTACACTCTGCTGAGGATGAATTCGTTCCCGCGCGCATCGATCAGGCTGCCAGTAACAAGAAGTATAAATCACTGAACTCTGCTGCTGTCAGCAACCTTTCTGGGCTGATCCCTGGCGCAAGCCATACCGTTGAGCAGCCTGAATCGCAAGAGTGGCTTTCCAAGACGGTCATTGAGTTTTTGAAAACGGTTTGAATCGGTAGGGAGGGCTATTACCGGTTGAGAAAATTTCTGCCACCAAAGGAACTTGGGTAGATAGCCTAGATTGACTTGAACATCAAGAAAGTGCATATAAACATAGCATAATCTTTCAATGGTTCAGATGAGTATCAACTGTATCATGGATGTGCATGATTGCCCGACTGCTAAACGTATAGGGTAGTTTGCTTCAGCTCAGCTGGGCCCGTACGTAGTAACTAGGCACCTACCTATGAGATCACACACACGCTTACACCCGACACTGCAACATTTCCATTGAAAACCCCACTAAAGCTTAGCCCGACATTGTCTAGACCATTCTATTAGCGTATTCTATGCATGGGTGTTCGCGTCGGGTCCAGGTCCAGAGGATACCGATGTAGCAGTAGCAGCAGGCAGCTTACCAACCATCAATGATGACTGAGGGTCCGTCGGTCAATTCGAAGAGATTCTGCTTGTCATACCCTCCTGCCTGTAGGTAGACTACCCGGAAAGTACACGGAAGTCGCCCAAGAGCAACGTTTCTTTCTGCAATCTTTTTTTCCCCTTCCTCTCTCTTTCTTTCCGAGGTGACCGGATCCAGTTCTTGTGTCTAAGACTGTCTTGGGGCTTTTTTTTGTTTTGTTTGCGCCGTCTTCGTCAGGTTCACGGCACTCGCACGCACTGACGTCGACAAGCCTTGACTTGTTACTACTTTGCGCGAGCTTCCGAAGCTTCCAAAAATCTTATCCCATCATCGTCATCAAAACGCGCTGCCGCATCGGCCTTCCTGCGAGTCGCCAACCACGTCCCTCTAGCATGAGGTGACGATTGCGAAAACCCTTTTCGACATCTCGAACCCCTTGAGAATCAACTACTGCAACAACAATGGCTTTCTACAACGAGCAACAGCAGCAGCAGCAGCTTCTCTTTGAGACGGGCTCCTTTACCGGCTTTCGCCCGTTACGAGAACTTGGTGCCAACTACTTCACCCTCAGCTCGTTCAAACAACCTCTGTGCGGAAATCCGGAAGGATGGGGTCCTCTAAGTCCCCATCGCTATGATTTCACGCCCTGCTTCATTGATGTCTGGATTGCTTCTGTATCTGTTTTTGGTCTTTTGTTTGGTTCACTTGCTGTCTGGTGGCTGCTCACCAAGAAGCCAAAGCAGGATGGACAGACCAAGAACGCCCACTTCTACGTCAAACAGGTCAATACTACCACCACAATTATCTTGCATTGTAATCATTCAATCGAGCTGACCCATCATTCTAGTCCCTTCTCGTAGTCATCATCGTCGACGTCATTGCTCAATTCATTGTACAGATCATATACATGCCTCATGTTTGGTACGGCGACTTCCGAGTTTTGACGACCTTCCTGACTATCCTCTCGCTACTCGTTATATTCTCTGTTCAATGGGTTGAACACTCGCGCATTCGATATCCCAGTGGCGTCGCTCTCTTCTACTGGCTGTTCCTCTTGATATCTTTCGGTGTGAAGCTGCGATCTCTCATTTCACAGCAAATCTACGAGTCCAATCTGCCATACTTCATCATCTACTGTGTCGGAGTTGGACTATCTCTTGTCGAATTCCTTGTCGAGTGGCTGTGGCCTCGAAGCACTGGCCCTAGTGGTTACGAAGCCATTGAAGAGGAGGAGGAATGCCCTGTTGAATATGCCAATGCCTTCTCTCAGCTCGCATTCTCCTGGATGACACCAATGATGCGATATGGTTACAAGGTGTACTTGACGGAAGAGGATCTTTGGGCTCTTGCCAAGGACGACAAGACCAAAACCACTGGAGCCCGCTTCGACCAAGCATGGGAGTACGAACTAGAACACCACAAGAAGCCTTCACTCTGGAGAGTTTTGTTCAAGGCCTACGGCGGCCCCTACTGCGTTGCTGCGATTTTCAAGTTCTTCAACGATATTGCCCAATACATCCAGCCCCAGCTGCTCCGTCTGCTCATCTCGTTTGTGGATTCTTATGGTGAGGGCAAGACACCTCAGCCTATCATCAAGGGTGCTGCTATTGCTTTGGCAATGTTCGCCTGTGCAGTTTTGCAAACAACTATGGTGCATCAGTACTTCCAGCTTGCTTTTGTGACCGGCATGCGTATCAAGGGTGGTCTCTCCTCAGCCATCTACCGCAAATCTCTCCGACTGTCAAGCGAGGGCAGGGCCACAAAGTCCACTGGCGACATTGTCAATTACATGGCTGTTGATGGCCAACGTTTGCAGGATCTCACCCAATTTGCCCAGCAACTCTGGTCTGCGCCGTTCCAGATCATCATCTGCATGGTTTCTTTGTACAACCTGGTTGGTTGGTCTATGATGGCGGGTATTGTTGTCATGATCGTAATGATGCCGATTCAAGGCTTCGTAGCCCGCATAATGAAGAATATGCAAAAGGAGCAGATGAAGAACAAAGATGCCAGAAGCCGTCTGATCAACGAGATTATCAACAACATGAAGAGCATCAAGCTGTATGCTTGGGGCTCTGCTTTTATGAACAAGCTCAACTTCGTCCGAAACGAGAAGGAACTCAAGAATTTGCGAAAGATAGGCGCAACGCAAGCTTTTGCCAACTTCACTTGGACTACTGCGCCTTTCTTCGTGTCTTGCTCAACCTTTACCGTCTTCGTTCTGACTCAAGACAAACCTCTTACCACCGACATTGTCTTCCCTGCGCTGGCCCTGTTCAACCTTCTGACCTTCCCACTTGCTATACTACCCATGGTCATCACGTCTATTGTCGAAGCCTCTGTTGCGGTTGGTCGACTGACCAGCTTCCTCACTGCCGAGGAGCTCCAGGCTAATGCCATCACAATCAAGCCTGCCCCTGAACAACTTGGCGAGGAGAGCGTTATCATCCGCGATGGCACGTTTTCATGGAACCGTCATGAGAACAAGCCTACACTCACTGATATTGAATACACTGCTTACAAGGGCGAACTTTCTTGCGTTGTCGGTAGAGTTGGGTCTGGCAAATCGTCATTCCTGCAGAGTATTCTTGGTGATCTGTGGAAGGTAAAAGGGAACGTCGAGGTACGAGGAACTGTCGCATACGCCTCTCAACAAACATGGATCCTTAACGCTACCGTTAAAGAGAACATCATTTTTGGTTACAAATATGATGCCGAGTTCTATGAGAAGACGATCCATGCATGCGCCCTGATCGATGACTTTGCACAGCTTCCAGATGGAGATGAGACTGTTGTCGGTGAAAGGGGTATCTCGCTCAGTGGTGGCCAGAAGGCTCGTGTGTCATTGGCTCGTGCCGTTTATGCTCGTGCCGATATTTATCTTCTTGACGACGTCCTCTCTGCTGTTGATTCTCATGTTGGCCGTCATATCATTGACAATGTATTGGGAACTCGTGGCCTGCTTGCCTCCAAAACTCGTATTTTGGCCACTAATGCTATTGCCGTCCTTCGCCAGGCTAGTTATGTGAGCCTACTCAAGGATGGGCAGATTATCGAGCGAGGAACATACAAAGAATTGGTTGTTCAGAAGGGTCTTGTCGCTGAGCTCTTGAAAACTGCCGGACATGAATCTGGCAATGCTAGCAGTGAGCCCAGCTCTAGTGCCTCAAGCAGCAAGGCCGCGACAATTATCGAGCCCGACGCTGGTCACGCCAAGGAGGAGCTGGAAGAGGCCCAGGAGCAAGTCCCCGAGATGGCTCCTATCAAGACTGGGGCTAGTGCTAAACCTCGCTCAAGCAGCATGGCAACTCTCCGTCGTGCCAGTACTGCTAGCTTTAGGGGACCTCGAGGTAAACTCACAGACGAGGAAGTCGGAGGGTCTTCTAAGACTAAGCAGGGCAAGGAGCACTTGGAGCAAGGCAAGGTCAAATGGTCTGTTTACGGCGAATATGCCAAGATGAACAACATCTATGCTGTTGCCCTTTACATGTTTATGCTACTTGCTTCGCAGACTGCAAACATTGGTGGTTCCGTCTGGCTCAAGGAGTGGTCTGAGCGAAACCAAGAGTCCAACTCGAACGATCACGTCGGCAAGTACATTGGAATATATTTCGCATTTGGCATCGGAGCATCTGCTCTCACTGTCATCCAGACTTTGATCCTCTGGATTTTCTGTTCTATCGAGGCGTCTCGAAAGCTTCATGAGCGCATGGCGAACGCCATCTTCCGCTCTCCCATGTCCTTTTTCGACACTACACCAGCTGGACGCATTCTGAACCGATTTTCTAGGTTGGTAGATAACATATGCTTTTTGAGACCGAATACTGACATTTCTTCAGTGACATCTACCGCGTTGATGAGGTCCTGGCTAGGACCTTCAACATGCTCTTTGTCAATGCTGCTCGATCTGGTTTCACTTTGATCGTCATCTCTGTCGCAACGCCAGCCTTTATCGCGTTGATCATCCCTCTGGCCCTGACTTATTACTTCATTCAGAGATATTACCTTAGGACATCTCGTGAGCTTAAGCGACTCGATAGTGTAAGCCGCAGTCCGATCTATGCACACTTCCAGGAGTCGCTTGGTGGCATTTCAACCATTCGGGCATACCGACAGCAGCAGCGATTCGAACTAGAGAACGAATGGCGTGTTGATGCCAACCTCCGTGCTTACTTCCCTTCTATCAGTGCCAATCGCTGGCTCGCCGTTCGCCTCGAGTTCATTGGTGCTATCGTCATTCTGGCTGCTGCTGGCTTCTCGATCATCTCCGTCACTGGCAGTGCCCACCTTAGTCCTGGTATTGTTGGTCTTGCCATGTCATATGCCCTGCAGATTACATCCTCCCTCAACTGGATCGTTCGTCAAACTGTAGAGGTTGAGACCAACATTGTATCGGTGGAGCGTGTCTTGGAATATGCGGCTCTCCCCAGTGAGGCTCCCGAGATCATTGCCAAAAACCGACCTCCTGTCTCGTGGCCTGCCAAAGGAGAAGTTGATTTTGTCAACTATAGCACCCGCTACCGGGAAGGTCTGGACTTGGTGCTCAAAAACATCAGCCTTGACATCAAGTCGCATGAGAAGATCGGCGTTGTCGGCCGCACTGGAGCGGGCAAGTCATCTCTGACTCTTGCATTATTCCGTCTTATCGAACCAGCAACGGGCCACATCGGCATTGACAATGTCGATACATCGTCCATTGGCTTGCTGGACCTGCGCCGGAGACTAGCCATTATCCCACAGGATGCAGCGCTTTTTGAAGGTAGTGTTCGGGATAATCTGGATCCTGGTCACGTTCATGATGACACTGAGCTTTGGAGTGTACTTGGTGAGTAAACCACAAGATTGCAACCCTACAGCGGCCAGGCGCTGCTTGAACAAGCGATTGTTTTGTCATTATATGCTGTGTAACATTTGCTGACAATTGCCTTATTAGAACACGCACGACTCAAGGACCACGTTTCGAGCATGGATGGTGGGCTGGAAGCCAAGATTAACGAAGGAGGTAAGTCGACACCCGGCACTGCGCTTTCTGTCGGCATTTCTTGACCGGTCTACGATTTCCCTCACCGGTCACCCGAGCATCTGGTTCAACATGCCCTGGCTTCATCAGATGTGGTGTGCACAAGCATCTGTCCCTTGCCTCTGATAATGAGCAGTCTCTTTTCTGCAAACATCTTGAAGACAAACGATGTGCTTTGATGCACGCCTCGCATGAAGATGAAGTCCCGTGGTCTGCTCTCTTAGTAAAGCGACACCAGCAACCTGGCCCTTGGACTCTTAGCCATACTTATGATTTTTACATGTTCAACGGCTAATGTTTGTTATTATAGGCTCCAACCTCTCTCAAGGCCAAAGGCAACTCGTCTCACTTGCTCGTGCAATGCTTACTCCGTCCAATATCCTTGTCCTAGACGAGGCTACTGCTGCCGTCGATGTTGAGACGGACGCAATGCTTCAGAGCACCCTCCGATCACCCCTGTTCGCAAACCGTACCATCATTACTGTAGCACATCGCCTCAATACCATCCTCGACAGCGACCGTGTGGTGGTACTTGATAAGGGAGAGGTGGTTGAATTTGACAGTCCGGCTGAGCTTGTGAAAAAGCAAGGTGTTTTCTACGGACTTATGAAACAGGCTGGTCTGGAACTAGAATAGGTAGGTATACCTCTGACTGCGGACTGGTCATAATTAAGATTGTATATACCTAGAGGTAACTAAGATGCCACCGAATAAAAGAGATGGATTCATTGCACAGCATGCTTCGTTCCACTGCACAGTCAGAAACTATAGCTCCGTTTCATTGCGTCGAGCGATCAGGAGGCACAGACTATCCGGTAAAGACGTATCAAAACAGCCCTCTCGACTGCATGCGCGCTCCTTGAGATTTGCCTTCTGCAAAAAGCATTGTAAGATTGTCCGGCGAGCCACTTGAAAGAGACGAGAAGCCTACACTGACGGTGGATGGCTAAGCAGAACGGCCGTGCGCAGTAGTAATGCTGATTATCCCCGGCGACAAGGGGCACGAGGTGGTGTTGAGATAGCAGGGATGGATACCCCTGGTAGGCACCCACAGACGAATCTGAACAGACTCAAAGTGACAAGGAAGACTTGACACGTTACATACTGGGGTAACCACAATACATACAGTACAGTGCACTGCCGTACCGGTATAGTCGGATCATATCCCGTATTGGCCGGACAGTGCGTCAAGCACGGCGGATTATGCTGACAACCTCAGGTGGGATTGTAAGGCGCGAAGAGAAGTTCTCTTCTTGTAGAGTCCAAATATCCAACAGCTGGTAGTGTATACATACTGGGAAAGCAACACCAACTGTGCTTCTCTTTCTGTGAGGCCAAGTCGGACGCGCCAGCAAACGGATGCTAATCCTAAGCTGAAGAAGGCTTCTTAAATCCTTGGCCCTTGGATATATATGTACGCATTGATCATCGGGACCATTTCTCCGAAACCAATGGCGTTCCCAAGGGTCTGTAACTTAGACCTATAGTCTCGGAACTCTGGTTTGTTTGCCAAGAGAAGAAGTCGCTTATGTAACACAGCAGACGACATCGACCATACTGCGCTGTATTGTAGTAAAGTTGTAGGCTCAGTCGCGTGTACACGCCGTGGTTTGGGCTATGTGTACACATGCCTGTATTCAGAGCATACCCTTCCAAGTTTTACTATATATTGCCGATTTGCCCTGCTGGAGCTATTCGAGGAGTCTGCCTCAGCTGGATGCTATTTGGCATTATGTCGAGAGTCGAGTTAAAAATGACCTCGGTACCCAGTCCATGGAGTCGTCAGTATCTTCGTGTCTGTGTTGTTGAATCAAGAGGAGAGATGAGACATCTGTGCCAGATAGAGCAAGGAGAAAAGCAATGGTCTTGTTAACCGACCATAATTCCTGGTCCATAAGTCTGGCCTTTGGCGAATCAGCCTGATACTAGTAAGTGCTGGGAGACGATAGTTCCAGAGTGGCGACCGTGACGAAAGGTCTGACTTGCCAAGAGTCACTATGAGATCCAGATGCTGATATAATCTTTCATGTATCCGCTTCCAAGCCTGAAAAGGTGAGACAGACATTGATGATGAACACCTGAGGAGCATGGCGCACCTGACTATGAGATGGGGAACGGGACAGGCGGAACTTGATCCGGGCATATATTGTGATGCTTCACTGAATCATCAAGAAGTAAGGCGATCGAATCTGCATAGATGCACCATCTGCATTATGCGAAGCGCACACTCGAACCTTGAGTCTTCAGCTTCACCAGCTGTCTCAGGATAAGGGATCTCATTTGTAAGGAATGTCGCCGTGACCTGGCTATTTGTTAACCGGTACGGATACCGTGCTGACGAAATGTATTGCTTGCTGTGCAGTCAGTGACCGCCACATAGCAAGATGTAAGTTAGGCTGTGTACATGTACTATGTATGTAGACGTATAGCGGCTGAGCCGCATCATTGATCAAGCATTGCGCTGATCCAGGGACCGATGCTCCGCTATGAAACATGCTCCTTGTCGGTCGAGACTTGACGACACCACCAGGGGCAAGCGGGAGAGCGCAGCCACTACGCCAGGCTCAAGAGTAGAAGTAACTAACACGGGGAACATCTCTATCATGGTCCTTAATATCTATATAGACGACCATAATGCTTGAGTCATTCAATGGAATTGATCAACCACGTAGTAAGTTTTCAGAAGAACCGGACCAGACAAGCAGACGATGACGTTGAGTAAGTACTCCTGCTACGGATGACAAGCAACCGTCGTAATCGATCCCGGTCTGAACTGAAGCTTGGTAAAGCAGAGCCCGCCGCAAAGTGCGTGGGGGCATGGATTCTTGGCTTCTGTTGCAGGCAGTAGTTTGTACTAGTGCTTGACTTGCAAGTTGTTCTCGCAGAGGGCTGTGAGCACGGCGGTGGCCTATCGTATTGATTCTATGAACATGGGCGAGATTCCTTGTTGATTGCTGATGCGGGGTTGGCCTGCAATTATGAGACACGGCAAGGCAAAGAGTGAAGTACGTGTGCTATGTATGCTCAACTACTGGATGGGTTGGGTTGGTCTCGCTGCTCGGCTTCCCAGAGCAATCAGAAACTAGTGCAGTTCTCTCGGGAAATCTATAATTGCTTCTGAGCACACGGTTGACGCGAGAAGATGCTGCGGCATGTGTCCAGGCGGCAAAGATCCGCATAAACGACCCTTCTGCGGCCCTTTTTTCTCTTTCGTTTTTGTCGTGTTGGAAGACCGTTGTAGGCAAGATTGACAGGGCGAAGAGGGAACATGTCGTCACGAACAAGGCTGAGAAGAACGAAAGCCCCCAGTAATTTTGCGATGTCAGATAAGCATTGCCAACGGCAACGGCAACTGCAACTGCAACTGCATCATTTCATACGGGTACAGTCAAGAGCCAACCGAGCGCCACAATTGCATTCTTTCCTGTCCTAACCCTTGCTTGGTTGAGCCATGTATTGTCCTCAGGACTGAATACATGTACCAGCATTGTTTTGCTTGTTCCCCACCTCTGCGTATCCGTTTAGACCTTCGCAGCCTTCGGAATAACTGTGTGTGACGCGGACGAGTCATCCCTTGGAAAGATACTGCCAATGAATTGGTGATCTGGCTTTTCCTTGACTTGGCTTTTGCCAAAAAAAGAAGTCATGCTAATAATATGCTTCCATATAGACTCCACAACCAAGCAGAAGCCGTTCAGGGTCGAGAACGTTGATTGGCATACTGTGCAATCCTTGCAGACGATGTGCTAGGACCGCCCAACGAGCACGCAGACGTACCTGTCAGGCCTGTGTGTATGCGCTTCCCGCTCCCTGTCAATGGAGCTGCCGGTGGTCCCTGTGATGGACAATTGACAAAAGGTCTGGGTTGGTCGATGCTCCCGACTCACCATAAAAGAAAAACGGAGCGATGGTGTAATGTTGTACAGCGGAACAGTTCTTGATTCCTGTGGGGGTACTCTGACTCGTGTCGACGAGATGAGACGAAGCCTTTCAACGTTGAACAATCGAATGCCTGTTACTGCGAGAGATTTTCCGCGAAGCCAAGTACCTGGATGTAGGGCTTCTGAAAGTGTAGTGACAGCTTGTTGCTAGCAATTGGTGGCCGCGAAGGCTTGTGTGCCAAGAAAGCATGCACAGATCGCATTTTGCCATTCCAGAGTAACGAGATTCAATTTGGGTTGGACAGGACGGGAGCCTGTTTTTTTTGGGTAAGTAAATAGGCCACAGGAAACCTAAGCTAGCTAGCTAGCAAGCGATGCGCAACACAAGCGGATCTGACTGACGGGGTTGACCTGGACTTGAACTGCAGGTTGCAAGGCTAACAGGAGAGCCGAGCCGTACCGCTCGCGTCCCACCCGTACATCGTCCAAAGTTTAGGTCAAGCTATCCGGAGATGGAAGGTTGGTTCGGCCGGGAAGCCAATTCTGACCGCTGAAACCTTTTCTAAAAGCATCTCGCGCAGTGTAGTCGAAGAGTTTTCTTGTCAAGATTACACAGCGCAGCGAGAATTGGCGTGTGATAGTGGCTGGACTGCGGGCGTTTTGGCGGATACCGTGTCCAATTTCAATTGCGAAAAGCGCGTCCGATCGGGTGATCAGGCAGATAAATGTCTCTGGAGTTGTAGGTACAATAAGTCTGGATAAAGTGATCCGAAGCTGGCGTGTCATTCCACAAAACGGCCCTCACTGGAATTCCACCGGACATAAGTGACGGTGGTAAGCGCATCTTGGTCTTTCCCGCCGGTAATAAAAGACTTCTGACAGGCCATGCTTTCCCTGTCCTGTCTAGTTTAGTAGCTTAGCTTAGCTTAGCTTAGGTAGGTGCAGGCAGTCTAGTACAGTACAGTGCAGTACCTCCTACCTGCCTACGGGCATGCGCAGTTGTACCTACCTGAGGTAAGTACGGTATTAGGTTGGTTCGCGTGGAGCACCTTTCGTCGCTGCGTGTGTGGCTGTTTCCAGGTTACCTCTTGCAGGAACAAACTTTCAGGTTCAGGGCAGGTAGGTACGTGCCTTCAGGTCCAGGTCCAGGTCTAGGTCTAGGTCTTCAAGGATGGTCTAGGTCGCCGTCCCGTCCATGATTCATTTGGCAGGACTCCTCCGTGGGCCAACCACGACCACCTACCGGAGACTAGGACAAGCAATACCTTGACAGGATTGGCTGAGAGCTGTCCACAATGAGCCGAAACGCGAATCCAGGGCGCCGCAAGATTTTAGTCTTACTTTTTCGCGCTGCCTTTCTGTCGCCTGGGCTAGGATCTGCCTGGTCTTGTCATTTTCTACCAAGTCTCATCTCAACCGTGATTGATCTGAGATCTCGTTTGAGGCTGATGGTCAAATCTCGTCTGCATATAGTCACCCTACTGCAAGTTCCTTCCATCCAAGCACCTACGCATATACACCTATGCAGCGGAGTGCGTACTGGATGTACATACATACATACGACACGATACGTTATCCGGGAGCACTGTATCGTTTGGTCTGGCTGCCGCTGCCGCTGCCGCTGCCGTTGCCGCTGGTCAAGTCATTGATTGTAGCCGTACATACTGTACTGTACTCGGTTGGGCGATAGTGCATGGGCCAGTCCTGCAGGGTTACACGTTTTGAGCAAAGCTTCCAAGCCCATGACCCTAAACCACCATCGGCGGAAGGGCCCCGTACAGCCATATTGACCACAGAGACATATTCAGCAACCATGCCCTGGGGTTGTTACTCAGTGGTTGACTAGCGACACACACGTCTGCTCAGCCAACAAAAAGACAAGTCGCATGGCTAGAGTTGTCTGACGGGCGGTACTGTACTGTAGGTAAGCTGCTGACTCAAATACACACACAGATACGGATACATACCTAGAAATACTGTACATCATAGCTAATGAGCTTTCCAGGTTTACTGCACCGATATCACCTGCTAGAGATGCAAGAGATACACCCGATACGCAAAGAATCGAGATCCATTTCGACAGACGACTATCCGAACGGTTCCTGAGTAGTAATCTCATTTAGACCGTTCCGGATGATCCCCGCCCTGGATTTCTGGAGAATGGAGAAGGGTACATCACCATTCCCACTCACCGCATCGAATCAGCAACTTGGCAATTACCTACGTTACTTTTCTCGGCCTATAGCCACCGCGATGTGCTTCGAAGCTCCAGAGCATCCCTGCCAAAAGCTCCAGACTTCCGGTTACTCATGGCAAACCCTCAATGGTTGCTGCACGGAGTCTAGGAATCCAACTTGCCTATGTATCTTTAGCCTTGTTTGCTTTGCTACCTTGAAATCCAAAACCGCTGCTGGCTAAAAAGCAAAGGCAGAAAAAAAGAAGGAAAAAAAGAAAGAAAGAAAGAACCCCAGAGCAAATGATGCAATACGACCGCGGATTCAGACAACTGCAGCACCCTCGGATCTTCCTGGTGCTTCCGGCAGGCTCAAAAACTGGTCTAATCACGCCCTATGTCTCACCTTAGTACAAAGTAGTCAAGTACCTACATTGACTGGCGTTGATCGCCTTAGCCATGCGTTTCGCCTAGACTTTTGCTTTTTATTCTTTCCTGAGCTTTTGGACCTCTCCCACGCAACTATTGATTGGGCTTGTTCACATCAAGACTCAAGTTGTCGCTTTTAGCCCCACCACTTCGGCCGTCGTCAACAAGACCCCTGCCTCCTCCCCAAAGCCGCTTGAGGTGAGTCCTTCTAACGGGGTTCAGGGTGGCAGGATGCTATTCCATCTGAACGCCAGTTCCGCTCTTACAAGCATACCTGGGACTCATAGCTGTGTACCCACGTATAACTCAAAATGCTCGCTATACCGACGGCATATGGAACCATGTCAGTTTCTTATCCGGGAACAGCATTTAATTTGATGCCCTTAACACCTACAGCATGTCCTTCAAACCACGTTAAGGCTCGTGCACTTTGTGGGGGTGTCAGAGCCACGCGTGGGCCAACCGTCGTCTCTGCTCTTAGACACCCTTGACATGGGCCCTGTCAGCCAGCTCTGTGGATCATGGGATTGGCATTCACTATCATGTATAGAGCTCAAGTTGAGACTTTCTTGACCTTGGCGGACTAGCGTCATGCTCTCTTATCCCCGTACTGTGCGACATTGGCCCTGCCACCCTTCGGTTTCTTCATAGACGATAGCTGAATGCCTCTTCTTGTCGAGCTGCTTCCGCCACCACCACCACCTGAGGTGGGTGTTGCATTTCATAAATTTCTGCTTCAAGGTATTCAGTCGCACCCCCTTGCCCCTTGGTCCCCTCCAACTTTTTGACTAGACAGACACACGGTAGAAACGGCCTGAGATCGGAGACTTACACGCTGCTACCTACAGGTATTAAGCATTAGCTCTTGATCCCTACACCTGGCTCATCTGGTGTGTGTGCTTTTCTTCATACCTGGTCCCTGTATGTTTCCATTCTTATTCATTCACCAGGTACTGTATCCTATCCGTCGTCTTTTCTTTTCTCGCGGGTCAAGAGACGCCCATCCTGGGATAGAGACGGCACGGGAAGCTGTCTCATCCGAGCAAAATCTTTGAGAAGAGAGACAACATCGATCTACAGAAAGTAGTGCGGGGACCTACCTAGACTTGTCCCTCATTCCCCGGCTTTACATCTGTCCCATTCTACAACCCCGTCAGATCAACTTCGTTCTCTTTCTTGACAGACAAAATTTGTCGCTCAGTTGAATTTCTCCTTGACTCATCGTTGGTATCTTGTGCCATCATTTCTCGATTCTTTGCCCCTGGGATCGAAGCATCGCTTTAATCTCAACCTAAAGTTATAGGCACTTTGTCTTCGAAAAAGGGACCATTGCCACCACAGAAATCCCGACACGATCACCCTCTCGCAGGTTGCAACGTGTATGCTTTTGACTTTTCTCTTGGAGCGGAGTACAGATCCTGCTTACATCTATCTGTCTGCGAAGCGATAGACATACTGAAGTCCGTCAAATTACATCCGCTGACAACGATCGACAACGGGTTGATATCCTATACCATCCCAGTTTTCACCATCTGTACCAACTCGTCTCGGAAGACCTGGGCAGTGTTGATTCTCCGAGAAAGAATTGCAAGCTACTCAGTTTACCAAGCACTCTTCGTTTGCCGGGTGTCATCGAACTCAACAATTCCGACACTGGTTATTCAACCACGGGGCTTTGTTGCTCCCGTTTATATTCTTTGGAGGTCCAAGCCCCTGGCACGACTTGTGCTGCTTCCCTCACACCCATATTATTCCCGAAACCATTTGCAACGCTGAGCCGCAACCCCCCCGGAGCCTGGCCGGAGGCGAACTCATATCGATTTAACTTCATAAACCCGCCTGCTGTCTATTATAGGCAACCTCTATGTTGACCACCACTTCGACGAAAACTACTTGATAATACACATACTCTGTCATAGCTGGTAGTTGCTATTTCGATATGCTCTAGTGGTATAGGCCTTGTTGGAATAGTTTTGGTTTATTAGATTCTCCATTATTCATCCAAAAGAATCGCTCGAACAATCGATCCAGCTGTCACTGGTTTGGCTAGGAATTTTCTTCGACGTTTCGAGACACCGCCCTCTAACAAACATCGACACTACACAAAGCTCCCATTTTAGCCATTCTTTTCTGAGTTGCAGCTCTATTCTCGTGGTTGCCCTGCAACTTCCTCTGGGCTACTTCTAACGAACGACGACCCGCTCCAACAACCTTTGACGGAGACAAGCTGCAAGCATGGTTAGAGAGTGGTCGAGGGAGTCGTTCTCCCGCTACCCCCATCACTCGTACCTGCCTGAACGGTTTGTTGGCGATGGAGTTGAAGATAATCGCTTTCCGGAGACTCAGGATATCCAACGCCGACAACCTCCAATTGTAATGATTGCTCAACCTTCCAAATGCTGGAGTACTTGCTGACGTTGTGTTGTAGCAAATCGATGAAGCCCTCAGGCAATCCTGTGGAATATCAGCCAGACGATACTTCTTGGTTGTTGTCATGGACGATGGAAGCCCTCAAACCTTCTCTGGACCCGGCACCTCGGGAGTCCGAAGTGGCTACGAGAAACAGTTCTTTGACATGGACAAGTACTTGAAGGTGGTGGATCGGTTGGATTCTGGTTGGTGGATATCTAATTCACTTAACAGGATATTCAATGCTAATAGACGACTAGGAGCGAGTCCTGTTATCAACGACGACTACAGTTTCGACGGGTACAAACAATCTATGGATTTCCCCCGCAACCGTATGGTGGATCGCCGACGAATGTCTCAATTCGATGACTGGGACACGCCATCGCGACAGGGTCGAAAAAGACCACGGGCTCGACATGCCGTCGTTGAAGATGACGACGTTCACATGACTGTAGCAACGACAGTCAGGAAGGGCATCAAGATCGGAAACGCCAGTGACGTTGGCTTGTTTTATGAGACGCGCTTCAAAAACTGCCAACAGACGGCTTGCAAACTTATGGCCAAGGCATGGGTCAAGGCCGTGGAGCCAAAGAAGCAATCCACACATCCTTATACAGGAAGTGACGAGAAAGCGCCTGACTGGTGGCCAAAGCCTTGGGGCCCGACCAAAGAAGATAAGGTTCGCCACAAAGAGCCAGACCATCTCTATAAGCGAGGTAACACCCACCGTTATCGTCTTGAGAGGCTCTTTTACTGACACAATATTGAAACAGAACGAGTCCATCTTCTTAACCACATCCTCAGAATGATCGTGGAACCCAACGAGAGGCAACATCCCGATATTCAGAAGTTGAAGCTCAACGTCAAGAAGCTTGAAGAAATTACCATTGAGGCGCTGTCGGGCTTTTTCGCAGACAAGGATATTCCAGCAAACGCAAAGAAACGCCCCTTTCTCAATGAAATCTTCAAGGTGGCAAAGCAAGAAGAACGGTTTAAGAAGGGAGAGATTGGTAGGTACAAGCGAGAAAACGGATGAGCAGACACTAATGTGATCCAGATGGAACCACTGAAGTCTTCGTGATGGCTGACGACAAGATTCCTGAATCATACGCATCTGGCAATGAAGACCACGGACCCATTTTCAAGGAAGAAGAAGACCACGACGTGCCGCCCAATAAGCTAGCAGCAGTCCATGGACTTATGCCATCTTCGAACAATCATAGCTCCGGTGCATCACTTCACGGAACACCGTTCCTTGGCGGAGAATTACCTGTAAGAGGCAATCAATATACTCCCTCAACGATGCCGGAAATGCCACAGGATCAACATGCCTTTGTTGAGAACACCGACATAGCAGTCAACGGCCAAGCTGCAGTGCACGCCACTGGTGGCAACCTGACTATGGACATTGGTGTGCCCCCTGCACACGACGCCAGTCGTCGGGCTTCCATCTTTAGTGCCCATTCAGAGTATGGGGGTCAGAATGGCACGGCAATGTACACTCAACAGTGGCAGCCTGGCTCAACAGCTCCCAACTCTTCGTCCATGTACACTTTCACACAGCAGCCGCCCAGTCAACCAGCGCCAACCTTTGTCAGTCCCGGTGTTCCTATGAACCAGGCCCAGCCTTATATGAATGCTTCTTTCGACGGTCTTACACGCGGATACGATCCTAGTCAACCTCCTATGTTCCGGACAGGCAGCGTGCCACAACCCCAGCAGGTACATGCGACCCAAGGTTACGATTACATGTCACATGACAATCGAGGACTCCCCGGCGTGAAAGTGGACGATGTACCCCGACATGCCATGCATTAGTCCAACTACTGTATCTGGAATTGCTAGATATACCGTATGGTGTGGAATACGCAAGTTCTTCCTTACATGGTTATAGATCACTAGGACGACCGGCCTGGTTAGACAGCACAGGTCGCTTCAGGGGAAGGTCGTGCGATTATTCATGACAGCCTCACTGTTTCTCAGTTTTCAGACCCATCCAATATCGGCAACGGCATACACACGTTGCTCGATTGTTTCGGGTGATGGGCGGTTACGATTGCCTTATGATTCGATACCCAAAATACATTTTCAAGGACAATCTGGGACGGCATATTTGATTTTTGGTACGGATACTTGGGGCTGCTATATCTTATTAGAGTAAGAATGCTTTGCTCGTTTGGCATTTGATGAACTCCAGGTTCTCCTGACAAGTTTGTTTTCTTGGCATTTTCTATGGTACGCGGACTTTTCTTCAGCCCCGGACACTACATGATAGTGGTCCTGGTTGGTCGCTTTGTTTCTGTGGCTACTTGAGGCCCCCAAGAAAGCATAGCGAGTACGAGTTTTGTTTTCCTTTTTTTCCTTTTCGATTTACTTTAATGATTAACAAAATGTGACGACGAATGACGACGGCGAACATACCTCTGGGAAGTGGCATATGCAATGACTTCGGGCTAATGGAACATGGCTACGAGGTTAGGGTTCCATCAAGGGTCAGCTCGTGTTTGGGTTGTTTCTGCAATTCGATCCCATTCAACAAGGGATTAGGGGGTGGAGTGGTTTGCCTTGTTCGAATTACGTTGTACCTCAAGTTCCAGCTTGTGCTTGCTTGTTTTACAGGAAACTGGGTGTGTTTCGGTCAGCTTGTTAGATATAACACTGAGCATAGGGCACGAATGAAGCTCGAGACTCTTGTTCTGTAGCTTTTCGAATGGTGTGTTGCATGGACAGTCAAGGTCCCGAGAGGAGCTCAGAATCAGATAAAGGACCAGTCGGTCTTGAGCAACATAGTTGTATCGGTTATTACTACCTATATACACCTAGGCTTACGAGGCTCTATAATAAATGTTTTCGTGACGAAGATAAGCGAAGGAAGTTCGTTTTTATCAAGTGGTAGGCATTGAGAAGCATCCCCAGAAAAATAAGAGCAAGAACTACGTAGAGGTTGGGAGCTACGGCAGTCATTTTCGTCAACGTAACATGCACACAGTATGGAAACACCATAGGAACAGTTCTATTCACTCAATTCAACACTCAGGCTATCGCATCGTATCGCATCATAAAGCAGACACTTAAACTCAACTTTCCATTGATTTGAGAGTGAATCGATCCACCAACGCCAAGCTACTTAAAACTATCAGACCAAAAGAAATCTCGCTCATACCGTGAGACTACTCATGAAGCAACAAAGAGGCCCCTTCATAACACTCCACTCTTCCGCTGATTCGATGAGTAAGTCCTGCCGGAAGGCGAACATAACAAGCGAAAACACAACCAGGCCGACTGGCAAATATTCACCAAGGCCGTATTCGCTCAAGACAGTATTAGGCGTGGGTATATGTCAAGAGCAGTCCTAATGCGCCACAGAAGCATATTCTGATGCTGAAAGAGGCTCTTAACTCGATGTAGCCGTGTTCTCCTCCTTCGGCTGGGGAGGCTCGAGACCAGCATTTTGAGCCACACGTTTCCAGATCTCGAGTTCACGATAAAGGCGCTCACATTCCTGCTTTAGCTTGTCGTTGGAAGCACTCAGTTCTGTAATAGCTTGCTCCGTAAGCAGCTTCTCGAGCGTCCATTTCTCTATGTTCTGCTGTTCGTTCTCCTTAAGCTGAGAGATGAAGCTGACAGCTCGTTGCAAGATAGAACCTTTATTCTTTTCGCAACCAGGAACAATTTTTGCGAGCTCGTTGATGCCCTCGTTAATCGTTTCACGTCGACGACGTTCCACTATACATCGTTAGCTAGTGTGGAAATAACGTAGGATATCCAACTATACCTTCTTTGTGGTTGTCCTTTCGCATCTTGTGCCACTCTTCTGAACCGACGGTAGGCTTGGGGTTAGGGGCAGCGGGATTGTATCTTGCTGGCGGATGCGGAACGCCGTTGGGAGGCGTATGCTGATGCTGAGGAGGTGCAACCTGAGGGGGTTCCATGATGCCATCAACTGAGGGCGTCACATCAGGATTGAAAGATGTATCGTGACCATGGTCGGGATCAGTTGCCGCCTGGGCAGCAAATTGTTCTTCAGTCGAGGGTGGAACGTGAAGAGTGGGATACATCCCAAGAGCAGCCTGAGCGGTACTGGTAGCACTGGTAGGATCTGGGGCATCGGGGTGGTCATGTTCTTGAGTAGCCTGTTGCAGAGCGTTGAAGTCGGCAACATTTACGCCATTAGCGCTCACACCGTGGCTTTCCATGGCGCTGTCCATAAACGAGGCCGCATCGGTAGACATGTGAGCAGCTGGCGCTGGACGTTTATTCCTCGACAGGTCAGGACTACCGGATTCGCGCTTTCGCTTCTGGCCAGGGGAACCAGTCAGACCCATGAGCTCGGGCTGGTCAGCAAGAACTTCTGCCATCGTGCAGTCGTTTCTAATGGTAAAGGTTGTGTCCGAAAACCAGAGGGTCTTGGTGGGTAGAGACTGCTGAATAGAAAGCTCGTCAAGACTAGATTTGAGAGCGAGTTTTGGCGGTTAAGAAACCACAGATGAGACGTTGGCGATCAGTCAGAGATCTGAGGAGGACAGGATAGAGTTAGAACAGGTCCGCGTAAAGATATGCGTAGGTAGATGAAGTGTAGAGAAGAAAAAGGCTACAGCTTCGAATACAACGAGCAAAATCAAGCATCTGAGACACGTGGACATGAGATGCACTAGTGCCATTGTCGCAGAAATCGGGCTTGATGCTCTGCTCTGAAGAGGCGTACGGGGAGAGAAACTCGCTCGAGTTTTAGTGGTGACTGAGGGAGAGAGCAAACGTGAACAGACATTGAAACGCGATATTTGTCACGAGCAAGGCGAGGCGAAGATAGAATGAACCGATGAATTGATGGTGATTCATTCAATCTAGTCAGGATGACTACAGCGTAAATTTAAGTCTCCCTTGGTGCAACAATGCGATGCGATGCGATGCGATGCAGGCAGGCCATGACAGTGACTGATACTGATGCTGATGTATGAAGACGCGACCACTTGGTAAAATGCATCGTCGAGTCATTTGCGCAAACATCTTTTTGCAAAGGTTCAGAATGCTAGTGAAAGAAAGGTATTGTTGCGCAGGGCATTAAGATGAAGGTATCGTGAAGTGAATGAGATGCATGAAAGCGACATACCTTCCAGATCATGTGCCTTGAGGCGTGCGAGATCACGAGTTTTTCTCGTCTCACGTGTTTGGAGGGATCTACCTCGTGATATCGCGCGAGTCCCGGTTGATAAGTTCGCGTTTCCAAGACTTCCCAGATCCAAGATTTGGAAGTTTAGATAATCTAGTATAAAAAAAAAGAGATAGATAGAAAGAGGGAGAAAGAGACAAGGAGGTTTAGATACGCGTTCAGACGCGAGTATCTTTTATGTTACAAAAAAGGGAAGAACCAGGAGATTGAATCTCTGGGCTGGGCTGGGCTGTTCCCCCGGACTGGGATGGGATGGGATAGGCGCTTCCTGCTGGGAACTGGGAACTGACACTGAGCGAGTCGGGTCACGCGGCGGAGGAAGAGGGTGAACACGTGCAAGTGGGTGAGGTTGGTAAGATAAATAACTCGACGCGAGTGAGCGAGGGGGGCATGGGCATGTGCGATGAAGCCTGAGGCAGAAACTTTCGATGCTGGGCTGCTGGAGCCAACCTGGTAGGTAAGAGGGCGACCAATAGGAGGGTCAGGTGGGCCACATACCTACCTAATGCTTCAAGATGGGGGTGGTTGCCTTCCATTGAGGATGGGGGAAAGTACCTACAGTAAGTACAGTACTCTATGCCGGCAGGCGCAATGAAAGAAGGAATCATATGGAAAGAGTTGGTGAACCATACAGTAAGGAGGCAGGCGCAGCCTGGAACGAATAGCATCACCCTCAGCAAGTCTGTATAAATGGATTAATATCCTGAGGTACCTACCTAGGTAGGTATCAATACCTCTGTAGTATTACATGGAAAGTTCAAGGCACAGACATGAGGCACCAATACGTTTCGGATTCCCTTCTTCACTCTTCACACCTACACAAATAAGCCTCGCACTGTCAGCTTGCAACTTATCCTTCACCCAAATGCGGGAGAGTCCTTACCTAGCACAGACCAAGTAACGTTAGGGAACCCCCCGTCTTCCCAAAGGGATCACACCATCAAGAATAGAGGAGCCGGCAACAAACTCATCACCTGATTCCATCCTCTCAGGCGGAATGTCACTTGATGCCCTGAGGTGAAACAGGTTGCCTCCTAAGATATCTGCGACGGATGATCCGACCTTGGCTCGTCTGACTCTGACTCTGGTGACTCTGGCTGACTGACTGACATGGATATAGATAGTACTGGTAGCGAGCGACTCCTTGATGGTTCGTGAATCATGGCTTGTCCTGTGGAACATCTGGTGGGGTTTGGCTCTGAATCAAGTCAATATTGGCTTTGTCAAAGAAACATAATTCGTCTTGTCAACCAAGGGCAGGTGTCACAGCGAGATTCGAGCGCGGCTTTTTTGCTGTGCGATACCATCACCTCTACCCGGGCTTATCTAGGGATTGGAAGCGTCACGTCCAATATCTTGATCTAGCTACAGCTTCTTTATGCCTGTTTCATGCAGCCAACCGGCTTCGGAGTTCTGGGAAGTCACTGACAGTTCGTGCTAGGAAATGGTTCTTATTGTACAAAATAGTAACACATTCACTTCAGCCTGTTCTGGGGCATAAAGGAATCCGGAGGTGAAAATTGATGAGGCTTCTTTCTACCTTGGCGATATCAGTGTTTCCTTGTCTCCTAGATCTATCTGCCTGTTTGTCATACCTACCTAGGCACTGAATGTTCCAGTTGCTTCAACTGATACAAGGCACTACCTGTTCAGAAGATATCTAGATACTCTTCCTGGGAAGTGCCAGCTTCTCTCATCTCCGCTTACAGCGGGAATTCATGACCCGCCGGGGCCCCACATGCCCTGGTTCCGAACGGCACGGGAGTCTTGTAGGTACCTACATGCTTTACCTCTTTGAGCTCCCACATTCTACTCCACTCTTGCTTGTCATGACTTGCATTGGAGTAACCCACTTCACTTTGACTTCACTTCACGATAACGTCAAGCAACCGCGACCACCGGACCCTACGGACCGCCTTCCATGAACCTTCAATATTAACAAGCAATTCTATAAGCACCTAGCTAAAGTTTCGGACTTGTCAGCATACCTTCATTATGGGTGATCACAAGCTCTCCCAGATCAAACATGACGAGCACTTATTGCTTGTAAGTCCTTCACTCGCCCCATCACCGCCTCCCAGTAACCCTCCGCTCATTATCGACACCAGGATCAACCACTCCTTCGTCTCCCCTCCGAACTTCTTCGTAAAAACTTTCGAACCGCACATTTCGCAATTGAGAAGGACACCGCTGCCCTCAAGACGTTGCTGAAGGATTCTGCTACCGCCACAGTATCTGGCCGCGCATCACAGGAAGATGTTATTCGAAATGTCGATGCTATGATCACTCGAATGCGCGGTCTGAAGCGCAAGCTCACTACCAATGCTGCCGAAGAAGCTCTTTTGCACACGCAGACCGCTGCCCGCATAGCCCATCTCGACGAATTATACAAAATGGATTCGGTGGAAGATGTCAAGTACGAAACCTGGAGTAGAAAAAGGCTGGATAGGCTTTTGGCGGACTACCTACTTCGCCATGGATACAACGAGACTGCAAAGGAGTTGGCAGTCCAGCGTGGAATCAACGATCTTGTTGACGTCGATACCTTTGTTGCTGCTAGTCGTATTCGAGATTCACTAATGAAGGAGAGCGTTGTTGAAGCTCTGGCCTGGTGCACCGAGAACAAGAAGGAGCTCCGCAAGATGGATGTTAGTCAAGCCCCATCCAGAATCGTTACATGTCATGCTGATATTCTGCAGAGTAAACTTGAGTTCATGCTTCGCTTTCAACAATATATTGAACTTGTCCGCTCTCAGTCCCCATCCAAGGTCAACGAGGCCATCGCCCACGCAAAGAAACATCTTATCCCCTATCGAACCACATTTCGCCGCGAGGTTGAACAAGCCTGCGGTCTGCTTGCTTTCCCTCCTGGCTCTAAGGCCTATGGAGAGCTCTATAAGCCTTCACGCTGGGCTGAACTTGCTAATCTCTTTACAAAAACTCACAATCAACTGCTCGCCCTTCCTGCAGTGCCTCTTCTTCATGTCGCACTTTCTTCAGGTCTCTCAGCTCTCAAAACACCTGCATGCCACACTCACTCCCCGAATCCCCCACAAAGCTCGAGCGCGAGCCATACCACAAGTTCAACTGATGTAACAGAAACGGCTGCTTCGACGCTCGGCCATGGTGTTTGTCCTATCTGCTCTACCGAGCTCAATGAACTCGCACGCAATGTGCCATATGCCCATCACACGCAGAGTCACGTAGAGCATGATCTTAGGCTGTTGCCCAACGGCAGCGTCTACGGAAGCGATCGCCTAGAAACGCAGGCCAGAAAGCACGGATTGCCTTCAGACAAGGTCCGGGATCTAAGGACAGGTCAGATCTTCCCTACCGAGTCTTTGAAGAAGGTCTACATCACTTAAAGCGCACAACACGTTGCAAGTTGTTGACATAGCGTAATTGAATTTGGGCGTTATTGGGCTACCCATGAAGGGATCGTTAAACAATTGTATAATACCATGTCTCTGGAGCCCACGGCCCCAGACACAAAGTACCTACTTATTTCTGGATAGCATACACAGCGTCAGTAGCGAAAAAAACCAACAGCTTAACAACCGTCAAATTCCAGGTGCCAACTCCCCAATAACCATACAGTATAGCATACAGTAGCGGCGCCAACACCACCGGATCCATGCAAATCACCACAATCACCACCAGGCCGTGTTTTCCCCCGTCAATTCCCTGGGGCCCTTGAAACCTCCCATATCAAAACGCGAAAGCTCCATGCAGAAAGTGCGGGAGCGATAGGCGAAGACGCACGCTTTATCAAGAGCTTATGATATCGCGCCGAGTACTGTTCGCTTCACACAAAGCGAGAATTCGCTTTTGTGGTAAAACGAACGTATAGTAGGATATATACAGGAGGATGGTATGTAAAGACAAAATCAAGAGCATAGAAAACATTAACACTATTGGCAAATTTCAGCCCCAGAGCCCGGCAAATCGTGCTGAATCTAGTCCTCATCGGTTGCCGCCAAAAGCAAAACTACCAAATACGCCGCCACCTCCTCCAGGTGTCATAGGCCCTGTGTTGAGGATACCATTGTGGCCTTGGGGTCCAGGGGTAGTAGCCAGCCCAACACTCGTAGTATTGGGTGTGCTGGGCGCATTGCCATTTGTCTGGCCATCGCTGTTATTTTGGTGGTTTATCATGACATTCGAGTCAGGGAATCCGAGACCCCAAACTTTGCCGACGTGCTCGTCAGGGATGTCACCAGCAAATATCTTGTCGCGCATAGAGAAGAAGACCTTGCCGGTAAGTAAAGAGTCAGATCCTGCTTGGTGCGCATTGCCGACGCGCTTAATCTTGAGGGTTTCTGCGATGTTTTCGAGTCCTGACTTATGCTCAAACTTTTGCAAGATCTCAGCACTACTGGGATCGTTGGGGGTTAGAAGACCAGAGTTGTGAAGTCGGATCGCATGCTTCATGAGATGCTTCACATCATACGTCGTTGGAAAATACAGCTTCATCTTGTGATCGAAGTCAACCTCGTCATTCGGCAAGGGCAAGCAGATCAGAAGTTTGGTGAGATAGCCGAAATCGTAGCCGCCGTGGAAAGAAATCCATCGCACGTTGTCGAAGCACACTAGACCGGATGGAATGAGAAGAGACGCAAATTCGTGGGGATCAATACCGTCGCGTTCAAGCAAATCGAAGTTGATACCGGCTTGCTGAAGTGACTCGATTGATTTCTCGTTGTACATGTCGTCGCCGATGGAGAACTTGAAATTAAACTGCCACGAACAAGGGAAGGGAGCATTAGTCGCGGCCTTTTGCGCAGCAGCGCCAAGCTTCATGTCGTTTGTCGGTCGTGCCGGTGGGGTTTCGCCATCCTCGTTAAAGAAAGTTAGGCCTATTTGTATGACCTTAAGCATGTCGACGTTGGTTCGCAGACATTGGTAATGGTAGTCGCTCTTTCCTCTGAATCCTCCCATGGGCCTTGATACCACACCCGGAAACTCGGTATCCTTTTCCAAGTGGTCAGTATATCTTTACAGTCATTGTATACTCCTCGTGTCTTACCATCGCAATGTAGGGGTACTTGTCCACCAGATCTCGTAACACGGCCATTTCCTCATGTAAGTTGTGTTTCCACACTTCCCGTATCCTTCCCTTGTTAGGTTGCGACCTGATCGTGGGGTGTTCCATTAACATATTCTGGTGAAGCTGTCCATGTTGTGATTGTTGTAGTGCAGCGGCAGGACCATGAAAGCCCATCCTTGCACTCTGGCTCCCAAATCCCGTGTCTGCAAAACCTTGGGTATTCAGACTGTTGAGGCCAGATGTGAATGCATTATTGTTGGCGGAGAAGGGCCCAAGCTGCGCATTGGCGTTCATGTACTGGTTTGCGCCTGGCATACCGGCTTGCGGTTGAGCGTGTGAAGGGAAACCACCTTGATGGTACGGCGCCGCTACAGCAGGCCCCCCGCCGAAGCCTCTAAGTTGCGGCGGCGGCATGTGGGAGGTTCGGTTGCGATTGATGGGTTTCCAACGGCGTCGTCCTCGACCACGTGCAGGTTGGCGTTCCTGAGGATACCGGGAAGGTTGCCGAGATTGAGTTTCTGGACGATACTATCGAGGAAGGATACCGACAGCAGAACTTTGACTGGAGATTCCCTGTAAAGCTGATCCCGGAGGATCTAGGGTTGTTGATATGTTTGGCGGCGGCTCCTAACCTCCCTGCTCTCCCTTCATTGGCGTAGTTCGAAAGAGATATTCAAGAGACCCTCGCTTTCAATGCGAGTGTTTACCGAGTGTATGCGATAGCGAAGGGCTTCGATGAACGTTCGTAAAGTACCGTGATTGCTGAGTCGGCGGGTGGTTTATCTGATTTCCACGTCGGATGGTGGAGAGAGTGGGTGGAGGAATGACGAGTGATATGCGCCAGGTGAGCTCGACCAAATAACAAAAGCAAGACCGTTTAACCAATCTGTTGGACGCAGCTTAGCATATAGAGCACACAGCGTGGATTAAACGATTCAATAAGTTTGCTGGGCTGCTTTCTGTGCTTCCTCTAGTATCGAGGGCACAGATGAGGAGCTGGAGGTGGCAGAATCGAATGGTCCGTGCGTCATATCGGAGGGAGCGGCCACTTTGATCCGATCTTCTCTCTGGTTGGTAGCCCCGGTTTACCTACAGTGATGGGGAAAGAGAGCCAGCAACACTAAGGTCGAATTGGCTCGCTCTCCATTCGCCCATTTCATTTGTCGTCAGATCCAACCACCACCTAGAATCTCGTCTTCAGTCTACGATGCTTGCCACGAGGTGCGATATGATCTCTCAGAGCTGACCCTCGGCCAATTGGCACCTGTAGTCAATGATCCTGAGCTGACAGATGCGCCATGTAGAGTACTACGAGCCGCCGCGGGCGGTCCCAAGGCCAACATCACCGGCTTCAACATGCGAGCGTTCCAAGCATCTACCGGCCAGCCTCGATACGACCCCTGGGAGCGAAAGTCCGTCACACCCCGTTACTAAATCCTGCACCATATGTTAGACCCGTACTGACTCCCTCCTTCAGTGAGGCCTGGCGATACCAGGGCCCCTACACCCGCTGGAACCGTCTCAAGAGCGGTTTCCCCGGTCTCGGCATCGCGACAGTCGCCTTCACTATCTACTGCGGCTACGAGTACTTCTTTCTCGAGGACGAGCACCACCATGGCGAGGAGCACCACTAGAGTGGACATACACGAAAGACGATGAAGCGGGCAGATCTGGAACCTGTTCTGGGTGTGGAGAAGTTTTGTACATATACCTCGTCAAGCGACTAAGGTGTTCGACCAGATTGCGAATTCCATCAATCAAAAGAAATATCCAAGATGAGGGGTGAGAAGTGATGCCTGGGTGAAAATATTATGAAGTTGCTGCAGCGCTCGAGGTGCCGGGTTGCGATATTGGGACATCTAGTGTCTCAACACCAGACAGTGCCCAGCGCTGTAGCATTAGATATCTACGGTCCGTGTTCACTTGAGACGATTTTGCGCCTGAATCGTTATGCGAGGCCCCAGCTTGTCCTCCAGATGGGAAGCTCGGTTCTCACGTGGGAAGTACCACTGTCTTATTTCCCCCCAAGATCTGGGCCAAGGGGCTTGTTTGCGTTTATGAGTTTATCTGACTGCTGAATCTTGAGTTTTTTGTGCCAGCGATGAACTTGAAACGTCTGTGAAGATTCAACAAATCATGTGAGCTGCATTCCAGGTTTACCACAACCATATATATCACAGACTGAGTATATTGATTGAAATATAAAGCATTAAAACTGCAGTAATTGAACTTTTATTTGCGAGAGATCGTCATTCTTATCGTGGGTGAGGTTCTGGACTGCTGCGCAAACAGGATTATACATAGCACAGAAATTCCTTACAAGCGACGATTTCTAAAGAAGCTATTATCACTGGAGAGTCTGTGGAAAGAATTGGTCAAGAATTTTAGATTTATTCAATCTAGTGGTTCGGACCACGTAAAGGTACCTGCCGAGACTATCTTGCCTCTATGCTAACGAAGGTAAAAATGGTCGTTTGACCTATGCAGAATGGTATCAAATGCCCAGAAAACGCCCGCCGTATACCCAAGCCGGCTTTATATCCATAATACTCCAAGAAAAATAAATAGTCCCATTTCAAAACGCCGACAAAGTACGATGCAATCGTAAAGGCGTGTTTGCGGTATGACAATGCAGTCAAACGCCCGTCCAAGGTTTCACATTAGATAATCATGTTGGTCGCAGCTTTGACCTGTCATAAGCCAATGCCATTGACAGCATCAAGAGCACCCTCAACTGCGGTTTCCAACTCTTCCACTCTATCTTTGAGTCCCTTGTTTTCATCCTTGAGAAGATTTACAGTGTTCCAAGCCATGCTGGCGTTTTGTCCCTGGCAGTTGAGACAGGACGTGGTGGTGGTAGGTTTAGGCTTTTCAGTGGAAATACCTCGGATGAGTTTTTGGAATGGGCTCATCTGAGGAACACTGTTCCGTGCCGCGCGAGGGGGTTCGAGAGTAGCTGGCTTGGCCTGAGATGCGGAAGCTGTGACAGGACTAATCTCCGATATAGTGGTGGAGAAGGTTGGGCTCCGTGATCGAGAAAAGACGCTGACTTCGTCCACACTTTCGTCGTCAGATGATGTTGATGTGCTCTTTCGCCAGCGTCTCAGTCGATCCTCGTCAATACCCAGGTCCTCTGAAACGATCGAAGCTGCTGAGTTGATATTCTCTTTTTCGCCGTTTGAAGTGGCATCCGTTCGTTCCTTCTCGTGGGCTAGCTGGTTAAGCAGATATTCAATCATGGCATCACGCTCTGCCATGATGGTAGTTTGTTCCTCGAGCTGCTTCTCGAGCTGCTCGACCTTGGATTCAGCCTCGCTCTTGTTGAATTCATGAATATCACGCTCAGCTTGGAGCTCCCGAAACTCTGCCGTACGTTGCTCATAGGCAGCTTGGAACTTGCTGAGTAAACCAGTGGCGTTCATCTGAAGATTCTTAAAGGCGGACGGTGAGAATGCCGTTCCTTCGACAGGAACACCGTTTGGGAAAAGACCCTTTTCGATGTCCAAATTCATAAGGGCGTCGTTTTGCTCCTCTAAGGGAGAGGCAGTTGAAGAAGCGGTTAAAGAACCAAAGAAATTGAAGCGCGCTGAAGTTGGCGTTGATGCCTTAGACGCAGATGATGTGCTACGCCGGCGTTCCGGAACAGTTGTTGATAAGGGTGTTGGTGCGTTTGGACGAGAGAACCAAGTCGGGAATCGATTTCGAGAAGGCTCCTCTACAACAGCAGGCAGACTTGATCGAGTTCTGCTCGCACTAGGTCTCTTATCGCCCGTGAATGACATATCGACTGACTGAGCCCTAGGTTTATCACTGGAGATGCGGTAGTGTTGTGATTCAGCGTCGAGGCTGCTGTTGTTCAAGTTGATGGAATGGCGCAGAGGTGACTGGAGCTTAGGAGAAGTAAGTTCTACATGGGATCCGGAATCGCGATTTCGTACAGAAGAGCTGGGAAGGTAATGGGCTGCCGAAGGGGAGGCAAAAGTAAGAGGAGAGACAGGAGGATTTGAGCGAGGTATCAACTGCGGAACGGTGGGAGTGCTAAGAGCCGCTGAGGAAAGACGGAGAGGTGATGTTTCTGATAAATGGTTGTTTATGGGTTTGTTTGACATGGCAGCTCGTCTCCAGGCGGTCGAAGCGCGAATACTGGAGCCATACGACCCAGGGGAGCTCGGTCCTGTTAAACGCGAATGATATTCAATGGGGAACTGTCCATGCTCCTCCTCGGCAACTCGGTCGTCGTCAACGAGCCCCTGGGCCTGGGCCTGAGGATCCAGAGGCTGCATAATTGCGGTGGTTTCGGTTCCAAGGGGTTTGGGAGATTTGGTGGAGCAGGGATCCAGGACAACGGAACCCAGTTGGACCAACGCCAGAAGGACGCTAGCACTGACGATCGTACGGGTTGGAATATATTGGGTGGGGAGCTGTTTATTGTCGTCGTGTTGAGTGTTGTAGAGAGTTGGCGCAATAGTTAATGGGGGAAAAGAGTTGGAGGAGACGAGGTTTATGGCTGTGGAAGAGGCATTAACCTAACGGAGGACGATGATAACCTTAACACCACGGATGCTGCGCGTGGTCGGCCGGTCGAGCCTGACTCTGACCAGTAAAAGGAGCCTCCACGATCGAGCGAGCGAATGGTTGGGCCAAAGTTAAGTTGCTGTATCCGTACGGATACTGCAGTCTGCACGCCAAGTTTCTTTGATAGTTGTGGATTCAATCGGGTCCAAGTTGTGTGGAGGAGAGGAGAGGAGGGGTTCTTTAGTGGCTAACGGACTTGTACTGATCGGGTAACTGGACAGCCACCAGTTTATATAGATGGAGGTGATACTGCAAATGTTTATCAAGAATGATCACGTCTACATTTCTGAGAAAGACGTTCAGCTTGTACTTGAAACTCTTTCCGGAAAAGACATTGCTTCATGGTGTCTCAGTCTCTCACTAATACCGCCTGTTGGCGAACAAGCCAGCCGAGCTTGGTAACGCCCTAGCGTTGATCCCTGATCGTTGAGGAATGTAAAAAATGCGCCACTGTCTCTGTCTCTGTCTGCTTCTAGCACTTTACAGTTTAAAATCATGCCCTAGTTTAATGGATTCGGTGGATTTGACGTAGCTGGAGGTTGGTTCTGGGTCTCGCCCTACGTATTGGAGCCTGATAGAGTCATTATGACCCTTCAAAGACGATGGTTGGGAACTGGGAATTCGTTTCAATATACGGGTAGTTAATATTGGACCCTGAAAGAGAAGGATCTGCCAATTCTTCTCCTTTGGGTGAATTTCCCTCACTGCAACACCCTGAAACAGAACCCTTCACTATCCGTAGCATCGGCCAATATTTATAGTACGTACCAATGACACCTTAGCATCTTAACCTGTGATTGAGGGATCAAATCAATACTACCCATAAATCATGCAGTATCACCTACATAACACCAACTACCTAGGTAGACTAATTACTGCACAACCATCTTACATACCTTTTTTCCCGAACGGACGGGCTTCAACGTTCCCCCCTCCCCCATCCGTAGGACGTAGGTACCCCTGCACGGGAACCTGCAGAAAGGTAAAAGCAAAAACTTAGTCATCCCATCCCATCCCATCTCAAGCGTTTCCGTCCATACTACTCCCTACATTCTTCAGCTCGTGAGCCCAAGGCCAAACTTAGACTGCCTCTTGGCGAGTCCAGGCCATTCCCTTCCCTCCATCGTGGGTGTCTGGACCCTCCACCTGCTTGCCCTAGAACAGGAACAGAGTTTTGGCCCGGTACGTTAGCGAACCTGATTGCCACGATCTGTGGCGTGCCGTGGCTGGTCATTCGAGGTGATCAGCAGAGGTCGGGTTGGTGGGCTATGGCGTCAAAATGCTTTTGTCATTGCAAGGCCACGAGTTCCATGCTTGTAGACGTAGACATGCAGGGATTACTGAGGAGATTCACAGGTGCCTCGTCAGACAGATCCTCTGTTTGGCTGGGGAATTAGAGAGATTCAAGGACCAGAATATCAAGCATAAGAACTTAAAATGTCATAAACTTTGTGGAAAAAATACAGTTAAATATTAACATCAATACTTCATTCCATATCTTACAGTCTCGCCCGCCTTCTATTCTGAGTAAAACCTCCAGCGTCTTCTATCGTCCGTTTTGGGCCAGAAGCTATTGGGAGCCTGTGATAGGTCAATTACCTTGGATCGGTTATGGTCGATGGAGTTCTCTCATAGTAAAGGGAATATGAGGCATGACAAAAGTCTACACCACCACACAATTCCAGTCATGAGGTATTGTTCAGCTAAGTCGCCGCCGCATAACAGTCTCGACAAATAAACAGCCGGCCAACAGGTTGCATCAAGTCCTGTCACAATCCTGGGCTACTTCAGCCAGCCTGGTTGTTGCTTCTTTCATTTCACTTCGTCATTCTGGTTGGTCCCACCAGTATCGTCATATGTTTGCGGAAGTACGGAGTACCAACCTCTTTATTCAACTATAACGCATATGTAGATGGATCCCTGTAATGAAGCCAATGGTGAATGATGTATCCATGACTCTTCTCTTGTCCACGTGTCAACACTCCTGGGTAGTAGATATGAATAGGTTTCAACAGCTGCATTGGATAAGGCTGCACATCTACATGACTCAATCTTTGCCAAAAGTTACCATTTAGTAAGACAGCCTTGAAGTAAATTTCTTAAGACATCGTTAGGCCTGTGTATGGACTGTCACATCACGTCTTTCGTTCATACGCCGAACTATAGTCGTGCTGTCTACAACCCGCTTGCTGCTCTGGATCATTCGGGCTCTGCCTTTGTTCCAAGGTTTGAGACTGATGTACCCGAACTACGTATGATCTTACCTAACGACTCAAGGTTGTCGTAGATACCGCAACCTCTGTATGTGCTACCTGTAATTCCATAAGTACACCAGCTCAAAAACATCAAGTGCAGAATGATTAGTCGTCCTCTTGAAACGGGTATATTGTCATGTTTATGTACGAGAAAGGCCAGGAGTTCCTTGCCCCTTCGCCTGATCATTTGAACAAGCATTCAGCGCAATTCAATCGATGGAAAATAACGAGGTCCTGCAAACCCTCGAGCCAAAACGGATTGAATATCGATGTTACTGGTAGGATCATGGTGAGAACTCCACATCTTCAGCAAGATAAATCGGCCTGATACTGGAGGGTCGAAACGGATCGTGCATTTGCTCTTTTTCTTCTCAATATAAAAACGAGCGTGGGGCGAGAGAAGCTGACCACCACCGACGGCTCGTACAGCATCCTGTGTGGCAGAAGCGTGGGCTTCCCAGGCTGCCGTAAGAGAGAAGGATCGGTTTGAGTGGTCATTTTCCTGTTCTCTTTCTCGCTCCCTCTCTCGTTCGCGGCGGCGTGAAGAGGGAGGGGAGAGACCAGGGCCGCTGGTATTGGCAGCACTGCTGTAAAGGCGCCAGTGGGAGGGATGATGGTCATCAAGGTATTCGGGATTAAAAGGGTCGCCGCCTTCTTCGGAATCAGAATCCAACGTTTCGAACGGAAGCGACCCAATGCGATCGGGCGCTCGGCGATAGAGAAGGCGAGAGCCCTCGTAATGCTCTTCTTCGTCGTCACTGCATTCGGTTGTGATTTGAAAGTCGGGGAGATTGGAGGCGAATTCCCGAGGCATCTGTGGAGTCCGTGATTCGTAGTCGTCACTACTACTTCGATATGTGTACGATGGCCGAGACCTCGTGGTTGTGGTTCCGTTTTCGTGATGTTGGACTGATATTATTTCAGTTGGGATAAACTGCAACACTCTCGAATCGCCTTCATGATTTGGATCATTCGAGCGTGGCGCATATTGTATCTGATACTGGGCTGTCCGATTCAGTACGTCGTCCTGCGTCATGGCCACAAAGACCATTCCTTCTCTCACTCTGTGCATAGTTAGCCACGTTACCAATGTTACAAGGCAACACATGAGGCAACCTACGGATGTGAATAATTCATTGACCCAGGTGCCTTGATGACCAGCTCCGAAAGAGTAAAGACAGTACCACCTTGATGCCGCAAGACAATATTGCATCGATTTCCCTTGGTGCAATACACAGAGTTGTCGTTCTTGAGTATGTTCTCTGCGGCATAAGACGATTCGTTGGAGAACATGCCACCATCGCAGCTGACTATTTCCATTTTCAGGTCGCCCTGCTCGACCTGGCCGTACTTTCCATAGCGAACGCTTCTAAAAGGTGCGTGTCTGTCAGAATCCAGCTTCCGACGTTTGTGTCGTCGGTTCGAGTCGGGCAGGTCGGTAGGACGAGGGGGGGGAGAGAAGTTGGGCGGCATGGGGGGAGTAAGACTGGGGTGGTGCTGAAGATCGAGGAGGGCCCTTAGATGGGAGTTTGCTTCCTCAAGATGGCGATCTAGGTCTTCAAGATTGGCGGGTCTAGTGCTTTCAGCGGTCCTCATACGGTCAGTACGTCGAGAAGTCGGCCAGCCGTCGTCCATCGGTCGTTCAAAGTCGTCGAAGCCAGAGGTGAAGGCCAAGGCTCTATTCTCCAGGTTCCGGATGCGCTCGGCGCGGCGAGCTGCTGCTGACCAATGTCGGGACTGAGGGCGGTTTGAAGATGTCGGCGATGGGCTGTCACGATCACGGTCTCGCTGGGCGTGTGCGAGGGCTCGAAGAGAAGGTAGTCGAGGCACTGGAAGGGGTGGAAAGTCGTCGAGGGGTTCTCGAGAATGGCGACGGTGGGAGTTTGATCCCGACCGGCCAGACATTGTGAAAGAAGTGCGGGACTGGTGTGGTCTGAATTGGACTGACTGGGGGTTTCAAGTAATACTGGGTACAAGACTGATGCTAGTCGTTGGGCGGCTATAACTAAGTATGGTTGTGACTGTGACTATGACTTATGACGTGGGGTTTTGGAGTGAAGCGAAGCGAATCGAGGGTTTGGTTGATGATGGACCCCGTCTATGGTCGGATTTAGTCAAGGTGGATAAAAGGGTCTTTTCGCAATACGTATGGTGATTGATAGTGATGGTGAGATGTACCCAATATGGCGATAGCGGACAATGAATCGTGCAATAACCAAGGTAGGAGAGGCAGTCTGTCTGATGTTGGAAATGAGCGAGTCTTTGACCCGTGCTACCACGTGAACAGCCTGATCTTGTCTTGGGGTGGTCTCGACTATCGAATGCAAGCAAAGAAGTAAGTAATAGAGCACAGTAGACTTGGCTACGTACGGTGCGAATGACTCGGCTATGAGATCTTTCGTGTCAGTAATGTAAGCATAGATAGAAATACTGGCTTCTCTTCTTGATAATAGAGACAATATGCGCCTTTTTTTTTTCCCTCTCTCTCTCTCTACCTTGCTCTGCTCTGCTGCAGCCAAGTCAGGTCAGGCGTACATTGCACATGAGCCTACAGTACCAGAAAAGGCATCATTGTGACGGTCATTGTGTGTGGCTTGGCGGGGCCGGCAAAGTCGAGGGACAGTGGAGGGCAATGCTCACCAAGAGAGAAAGGGCGAATATTGATAGCGTCCAGGGTGGATAGTTAATGCAGTACAGGAGGTAGACTATGGCGGTGAGAGGGAACTTCGAAGTCCTTTTATTACGAGCATGTGCGTGGTCTGATAGAAATAAGAGACGGCGGTAGAATGGAATGGGGGATAAAAATAAAGGCGGTTAAGAGGTAGGTACCTATGGATAGTAGCTACAGTGAGTGAGGCCGGCTGGAGTAAGACAGGGAGGACTCTGTAAGCCACATAACTTATCCGTTTTGATCAACATGTTGATGGCAATCTTGTCATCCATCTATTCTAACAAAAGAAACATATTTCTTTGTCCTTGTTACCGCCTGCAAGTTCAAAATATTAAGATATGCTGTCCTATGAAACCGCTAGACTCGTACTATGTGCCACATTGTACTTTGTACGAGTATTCTTGGTGTATTCCAGCTTTTTCTAGACTGGTATTGTGCAACCTCACCGAAAAGGGAATCGTGATACAAAGTCGCTTTATCCTTTTCGTAAGATTGCATAGGTAGTATCTCGTTATGTGATCTCTGTTTCTAAGATACGTAGGTATATATAGTACTTGAGCGGCTTCTATCCACAATAAAGGGACACGAAGGAACAAGGACCCGACTCTTCTTGGTGGAGGCTGTAGGCGACTGGTCATCTTAGGCAGTGGTCCACAGATTTAAGACGATACGACACTTATAAGCTGGAGATTGACGAAGTATGAAACTGTATCTCTGAGTAACATTCACGTTCGATTCATTCCCGTATCAGTTTACTTGCATAAAGACAAGGTTGATGTTTCATTTTCTTCACGTGATGATCAAGGGACCTAGGTATCGTGTTCATAGATCTAGGTCACAGTACTACCTAGTGTAGTGTAGGTAGTTGAAAGACTGTCAAAACGATCTAGCATAGGATATCAGTCACTCTATCAGAATCTAAGTACTAGGTAGGTACCTACCTACTGCCTTAGTACTGAGGTAACGAATTGATGGTTCATTAAGGTCGGGAATGAGGCTGTTAATTATTATGGCGCATACACTCCATAATCAATCACTGCCTGCCTAGGTAGGCGTATTTGCTCTGCCATCATCTTCGATGGCTGCCCGCTGTCGTACCTTGCAGTGGACCTAAGCTATCAATTCCCCAGAACGCGTTCAGGACCCACCAAAACCTTTCCTTGGTGATGTCGATCCCGCTAACAATCTCTGTCAGCCAATCATTTCAGCGCCAGCTCACTAAGGTACAGCAGGCCAGGCTCCTGGACCTTGAAAGCTGCCAACCTGCAATCCAGCCCAGATATGGATGATTATCTTCAGCCTCCTCTTAACAAACAACCTAAACGAATAAACAGTGCAGGCAAACAGGGACATCACTTCTGCTCGCGATACCTGTCCGGATACCTGTATCTACTGTGAATGCAAAACACACCTACGGAAACAGCCTGTGCTGACTGGGAGGAGCTGAATTCAATCCCCAGCAGGCTGGGCTTTTGCCATCACGCGTCTTTCTCTGCCTCATCTCATTCATAACAACGCTTTTGCGGTTTCGCCTCGCAGCCATTCAGCTTTGCGCAGCGATAAACGACTGTTTCGGAACCTCATACGCTTCACTTTGCTCACTCTTCTTGAGCCTCAACTCTCATTAGCCGAGGATCAGTATCAATGGACAGCTCAAATCAAGACCAAGGTCAGGCTCAGGCTCAGGCTCAGGCTCAACCTGTGACCGAAGCGCAACAGCCTTCAGATACTTCAGCGCAACACGGGATGCCTTCTATGGAAGCTGGCGCCAACATGAATGGCAATGGCATGCCGCAGCTGCCTGATCATGTTCTCAACCCGATGAACCCAGAGGCTCTGGCTATGTTGGGTGATCCTTCTCTCATGGCAGACCCTTCCCTGATGGGTATGCAGATACCTATGGGCGATCCTTCTTTCATGATGCAGCCTGGGATGAACCTTTCAAACGGCCAGAATAATGGGTTTAATCTCCCGGTAGCACCCCCTGCTACTGTCAGCGCTGGTAAGCTTTGCGCCCATGAATCGCATACTCCGCAGGTATACACTCTAACACGCGACAGAGGAGGTTGCTCTCTACGATCGCCAGATTCGCCTCTGGGGCATGGCTGCTCAGGCAAAGATTCAAAGCGCCAACATCCTTCTCATCACCATCAAAGCCCTCGCCGATGAGATTGCCAAGAACCTTGTCCTTGCTGGTGTCGGCTCTCTCACTCTGCTTGACAGCGCCACTGTTACTGAAGCCGATCGAGGCGCTCAGTTCCTACTCCCCGATGGCGAGGATGTTATTGGCCAAAACCGAGCACAAGTGACCAGTGCTGCCCTTAGGAAGCTCAATCCTCGTGTCCACATCCATGTCGATGAGGAAGGAGTTAAGACTAAGGGGCCAAGCTATTTTGCAGCTTACGATATTGTTATTGCGACTGACCTTGATCCCGAGTCTTTCAACATCATCAACACGGCCACACGCCTCAACTGCAAAGCTTTTTATGCTGCTGGTTGCCATGGACTCTACGGCTTCATCTTCAGTGACTTAATCGAGCACGACTATGTCATTCAGCGTGACCTCGGAAACGTAGCAACCTCTACTGGTCCTGAGACTCGTACACGATCCATCGTCGACGTTCAGACCCGCAAAGAGGGTCCTAAAACAGTTGAGTCTGTTACGAAGCGTGAGCTCTATTCTACATGGTTCCTCGCCAGCGACGTCGCTGTCCTACCTATTGAATACACACAGTCCAAGCGACGACTCAAGAGCGTAACCCCTGCGCTGTCTTGTCTCCGTGCTCTGTGGGAGTTTATGCAGCTCCAGAACGGCCGTGTTCCCAGCAACCGTGAGGACCTTAAGATGTTCACGCAGATTGCCACTCAGAAGCACAAGGCCCTGGGTCTACCCAGCGAAACCCTTCGCCCTGATTTCTTACGCAGCTTTCTCCAGAACCTCGTCAGCGAGGTCTCTCCTGTTGCTGCCATCCTAGGTGGTCAACTTGCCCAGGATGTCATCAATGTCCTTGGACAAACCCAGCAGCCTATCCAAAACATGGTTGTCTTTGACGGTGGCAGCATGGAGGCGTTAATGTATCCCCTACACCCAGAGGGCTCTCTTGGGGCATCCCAACTTACCGACCACACTGTCCCTAATGGTGGTGCGCCTATGATGATAGGCGGTGGCATGGATGGTCTCCCCATGGGCATCGACCCTACCGCCATGGGCGCCCTACCTCACCACAACAACCCCATAATGCTTTCTGGCGGTATGCCCCAGAACGGCAATTTCATTGCTATGCCGGACGGTTCCCTCGCCGACCCTACGCAACTCAACACTCCGCAAGCCCTTCAGCAGCCTGTCCGAGAACCGGCAGCACAGCCCACCGCAGAACAACCCGCTCACGAGACACAGGCAAACGCTAGCACCTCAGAAGCCAAGTAGTCGACCCGCTACTTTATCGATCTGCATTTAGACAGTACTGTTTCATGAAGACTTGTACAATTTGGGAAGAAGGAAGAGGACGGCAGTTGGGAATCGATGATACCTTTGTAACATTAAAAAAGAATTTCCGCTCAAGGAATTGTTTTCGCTTTCGAAATCTAAGGGGGGTCTAAAAGATTTGACATTCCATATTTATTGGATCACCGCCCCGACATAATTAGTAGCGATCAGGTTCTTAAAACATCACACACATACATTAAGTTCAACGAAGATGTCACCAGGTTTTACGTCGGGTGCTGCAAATCATTATTCATGTTTATTTTGCTTCATAATCTTTGTCGGCCTGATATATATATGTGGCACATCCACGTATCCTGGCTGATATCTTTTCGTACCTTTCCTTATCCTTCCAAAAAGAAAAGCAAAATGTTCATGATTTCGATCGCCTGGGTATTCACCTCCAATGATGTGTACACTGTTGGCTCCTCGAGTGCAGATTGAAGGTTCTTCATTGACGTGTCCATTTCTTTCGTCTAGCGCGCACCCTCATGGTAAAGCAAGTAGAAAGCCAAAGTGGTCCAAGAAAAGCAGTGCTGGTTACATCGATCAAAGCGAGATATATCGAAATGCAGCGTTGCATGTCCACGGACATGCTTGCCTAACGCCGTCGATGCAAATAAAGTGGAATCTATGTCCTCAGAATGGATAACAATTAAGTATACGGTCAAACCGATTTTTGGGTATATGATTTTTGGGTATCGTGGCAACTGCGCTGCGGTTGCTTAAGGAGGGATTGCGCAAGAACAACATCGCCATTGATGATGATGATGATGATGATGATGATGGTGGTGGTGGTGGTGATGATGTTGCTGTTTTTCCCAGGCAGAATATTTTTTATTGTGAGCTTTCGTCACTGCTCTCAATGGTTATGACCGCTCGCTGGCTCTTGATAATTTGAACATCATCAGACGATTCATCCTTAACTGAAGGCTCCTGATCCTTCGAGGTCTTGCCGCTCGTAGTCTTGGAATCTATAGCATTGCCTGTGGCTCGGGCGCTCGTTCTCTTGGATGAGCTAGGTTGGACGCTCTTGTCAACTGTCTTCTTAACTGTCTTCTTTGATGTCGCCTTGGAAGATCCAGTGGTGTTGGGCTTTCGCGTTGCGGCTGTTCTTGTCTTCTTCCTTGATGGCTCGACGGTTGATGCCGCTGGTTGGGCCTGAGCGGGTTTAGGCTTTCTCGGACGTAGATGTCGTTTAGGTGGGCTGTCGTTGGGATTGGAGACCAACGCAGCATTATCCTTCTTTGTGGGTGCCTCTTCAGTAGGCTCAATCTCCGCGGCACCCTCTCTTGTTTGCGACTGACGACGCTTTCGCTTGTTGGATCTCTGGCTAGTAGCCGGAACACCAACGAGGGGCTCGGCAAATCGAACGGACTTGAAAGGCTTACTCGGTCCGGGTTGCTCATCTGCCTGTGACAAAGAATTATCACCATTCTATCGCGAGTCTTCTCGATCTTGGCCAGGCTCTCCTTTCTCCTTGCTGCCTCGTTTGCGTGGTTGGTTTACACTCCATCCTCTGATTTGGGTTGGCCCAGAACTAGGAAGTGCGGCGGCGGACCCGGTCTCTTTATGGTCGTACGGAATGGTCTTGAGTTCGGGCTTATTCGGCCACGCTCGGTGCGCGGGTACGGGGGCGGGTTGAAGCTTGCGGTACTTGTTACCGGCGTCAGACGACCCTGAAGGGGTAGACCGATGACGGTGAACCGAATTGGGCAGACCCTGATGGTTTTCTTGGGGGCTTTGAGCCATGTGTGGAGGCATAGGAGGGGGGTTCGCATACGTTGGAGATAGTACTTGATGTGCGTAGCCTTGATGAGGCGAGGTCATGAAACCTTGCCCGGCAGTCTGCGGGTTTGGCAGGATTCGATCCGTCGCGATGGGCTGCAGTGGTGGTTGCCCGTGTGGCTCGGGGCCAGGATAGCCTCCTCGGTGGTAACTGCGAGGAGGGCCAGGGAGACAGTAAGGACCAGAAGAACGTAGACTAGGTTCTAGAAGTGCCTCGTCTTGAAGGGATTGGTTGCGTCCCCTGGATGGGCGCAGGGGAGGTAAAGGCTCGGTGCTTCCATTGTGAGAAAATGGGATTCGGGCTGGAGGCGGAGCTGGAGATGAGTAGTGAGACGACACTGAACCAGTGGCAGGTCCCGGAGGGGCGGGAGGAGCAGTCGCAGGGCCCGGAGGCGGCGGAGGTTGCGACCAGTATTGGCGGGAGTAGCTAGGGGCGTCGGTGGCATAGCTCAATCGACGAGGGGAGTAACCTGGATCGATAGGGCGGCCGGAGGCCATATGAGCATCACGGTGATCTGGGTTCGGGTAGCTGTTATGTGACAGATATGCCCCCTGCTCCTGAGCCGGAGGACCCTGAGAGGGAGGGGGGGGAGGGTAATCAGAATGTCGTACTGACGGATGCTGTGGCACACTGTGGTCATGGATGGGTGGGTATGGCATGGCCTCCCCGGGATGACCATGCACTGAGCCGCTTGGTTGCATTGGCAGCTGGGCGTGAGGCTGGTGCATGTAGCCTTGAGGAACCTCAACGAGGGTAGAACTGAATCGAGGGTCAATGGGAGCCTGACTTGGAGTAACGGGTGGAAGTTCAGTGGTTCGAGCGATCGAGCCTCGATGATCATGTTCCTGCATTCCATGGGAAGCAGGGCCCATACCGTTTGTCACACCATCACGGTAGACGGGTTGTTCTTGAACACTAATGGCCTCCATGATAGCAGGAGCTTCAGCTACAGGTGCTGGCTCATAGCCCATCGCGTACTCGGCTCCTGCGATGCCATAAACTGGAACAGCCTCTTGAGTAGAGACAGACTCATTCGAGGTACCCGCGACGTCACTCAGGGCAGCCAGGATATCGAGTCCAGCACTAGGCTTGTTGTCTGGTTTTGGGGTTGGCGTAGGCTTTGAATCTGTGAAGACGTCACGAATGGCATCATAGCGAGCATGCTTGGGTGCTGGCGCAGGTGCAGATGCCGGCGCGCTTTTTTGCTCTTCAACTTCAAGGAAGGCGCCAGCAAGTGCGAGGACTGAAAGACCGGTAAATCCAACTTCAGGTTGAGGAGCAGTCATATCCTCTGTTTCAGTCACTTGGTCTTCAACCTCTGGCTCCTCTGACTCGGATGGTGCCCGGCTAACAACAGGTCTGGCTTCGAGTTCCTTGACAGCAGTGCCTAAAGACATGCTTCGTAGCTCCTCTTCGGATCGAACATATTCAGAAATGTTGATTTCGTCGGGGTTGACGTCTTCAAGCTTGCAGAACCGTCTCACGGACGCCCCAATCTTGGCGCGATACGGGCTGTCTTCTAGGCGGCGGTGGTTGGTCGTCTTCAAGAACGAACGAGATGCATGCGAAATTCGACCTGAAGGGTTCGCGATATAGACCACTGGCTTTCCTGGCATGACATGAGGAGTCTTTTCGACTTCAGGGACGGGGGCGTCTCTCAGTATGATACCAAACTTAGGGTGCACCCCAAAACGCCTCACGATTTCTTTGTCAAAGTCCGAAGGCGTTGTGGTTGAAAAGTCGTAGCCGTTACACCACATATCTATGTATACTCCGTGGCTGTCAGGATTGTCGAGATATTTGCCACGCTTGGCGCGAGTATGGCCTTTGCTGGAGTCATTGGTCGAGTCTCTGAAGCCAATCTCCCATTTCTCGAACTCAAATGGTCGAGGAACGAAAAGGCGACTGCTAATGCCCTTCTCTCGCATCGACGGCTTCTGGTTGAACATTCGAAAGCCGTACTCGTCTGGCTCACCCATGTTCTTTGGCAATGGTGGGCTCTTCTCACGAGCAGGCAATCTGAGATTGTGAACTCGAGCAGCAGCAGCCGGTGCAATACCGTTGGCGAAAGCGGGTGGTTCTGGTGATGCTGGGGTTGAGTCTGACTCAGCTGGCGTGCCCTCGGGCGTTGCCTCGACTTCCGCAGCACTAGCGAGAAGACCTTTGGCGGGAGCTGGGGCAGGAGCAGCAAGTGATGGAGATACGAGGGCATCATCAGGATTACTTCTGGTGTTCTTCTTGGGAGTAGGTTGACCCTCAGGTTGCTCTTGTGCTCTGCGTTTGTTGGCACCCCGGCCTCGGCCACGGGTGCTTTTGGCTGGACCAGCGGCAGTAGTAGTAGCAGCGGCAGTGACAGCAGCGGTAGCAGCCACTTCATTATCACGTCCCTTTTGCCACATGGCAGTGCCTGGAACCCGAGAAGGATAGGGAACCAAGACGCCATCCAACTTGCACTCATAAATTCCAAATTCTTCGTCAAAATGTTCGTCGCTGATGACCTTGTATTCGTACTGATCATCGACAACCTGAGTTGAGCGTGTGAGCAGTGCATACCAATTACCGCAACAGGTAGATTATGAGATGGGGAGTGCATATGGTGTAATAGCGCAGGATGCAAAGGGTGAAAATTTTCTGACTTACATCGACAGGAAGATCCTTGTCATACAAAGAGTTGAGAATGCGAGCGCGGTTCTCTTGTCCTTCGTAGAATTGCTCTGTGACTTCTGCAAGACCATTCTGCAGGGGCGTTCGTCAGTAACTGCCAAGAGCCTCATAAGGAATTTTGGGAACGTGATAACGTCACGTCAGAGAAAGCAGCATACCTGGTACTCTTGGTGGGCAACATAATCATCAGCGTTACGCAAATGCTCAGCAAGCTCCATGTCTCTGTCGAAGCGTCGTTTATACTCGGCTATTTTGGCATCGAGGTTGTCTTGAAGCTCTTGCATGACAGGTATAAACTCTTGGGCATGTTTATGCTTGTCTGGGTTATGTAAAGCATCCTCAATGGTGCGATCAGCAAGCTCTTGCAGAGCAGGCTTGAGCGCGTGAGCAACAGCCTGATAATTGGCTTTGAGATGCCGTTGTCGTTCATAAGCAGCTTGAACACGCGAATCGGCGAAGTTCTTTGCTCGGCCTCTTCGTGAGCCACCACGGCCAGTCTTTGCAGTAGCCGCCTTGGATACTGCAGCAGTAGAGCCACCTCTACCACCACCTCGACCTCGACCGCCACGACCTCTTCCGCCGCGGCCACGGCCACGAGTGGAAGGTTCCCTTGCGGGAGACTCATTCTCAGCCATGACGGACACGATGGATCATGTAGCTGGAGGTGAGGATGAAAAGTGGATGTGCGAGGTTGTTGAGTGGTCAAGTAGAGAAGTAGAGCAGAGTGAAGTAAAGTGAAGTAAAGCAAAGTAGCGGGCCGGGTACCAACTTTTTCCTGTACGTTAAGAGGTGAGAATGTGCCACGCGCCAGTGACAGGGGGAGTAAGGTACCTACCTAAAAGACAGGGTAATGAAAGAGAAGCGCAGACGCTGTACGTGTGTTTTGGCGCGATGAGAGACCTTGTTCCTAGCAGAAACGCGGGCAACAAAGAGCAAAGACGGTGCTAAGCAGGCTGAAGGGGTGGAGGAATAAAGGCTGGGCGCGGTCTGGTAGCAGGAAGGGGAAGATGATTACGGGTTGATGGTTGATGGTTGAAGGAATCTGAGGTCAATCCGGATCTGAGAAAGAGGTGTGAGGTACGTATAGTTTGAAATGGATCAGAAGTTTTTGCTCTGACAGTGGCCGCAACTTGCAACGCAGCAGCGCCTAAACGGAACAGCAGCAGAAAAAAATTGACTAATCTACCAATTAGACAAGCTTCGGATCACGTCGATTACGACAATTCGCAGTGATCAGTAGGCGTGGCAAGTAGTTGAAGTCGTGAATATGAAGGAGGTTCTAATGTAATGAATGAGACGGAGAAGCGCTTGAGTCCCTTTTTTTCCAATAATACCGGTCCCAGCAGCATGACCCAAATGGGTGAATGAAATGTGCCAGACGAGTCAATAGAAGTGGGGGCAAATCTGTTTGTCGCTGTAAGTGCACTGCAGTTAACTGTTGTCCACTGTAGAGTAGGCTGAATCGCCTAGAGATTATACACCCCTGATCACCGGGATTGTCCACCAGCCACGCCCAGCTTTTTGGTAGTCTAAGCCGTTTCGGGCTTTGTCAAGACAGTTTCTGGTCGATTGATTGGTCCGGTACCCTTGATTTTCCGTTCGCCGCAGCTCCGTGACCCCTGTCGATGCTCTTGCATTCTGCAAGGAGGTACAATTACTCTGTACTCCGGATTCTGTTTAGATCTACTAAGTTAGCATTAATACATCACTGAACAAGAACGTAGAGTGAACAATAGGTAGCTATATTGCATGAAGGAGTCTAGATTACTTATGACTTAGTGTAAGAATCTCTCTCTATTGAAATCCTTGAAACTGGTGATAATTGAACGTTTTCGAATTAAAACAGATGGGACAATGCAAAAAAACGACACTGCCCGACTAAGGTGCGGTCAGGAACAATATTCAAGAGAAATTCCTTCGCTCGCACGAGATCGGGATCACTGAATCCGCTCTTGTCTGCTCTACTCCATTTGCAACAGTCGTACTTGATCTTTATGATGTGGTATGCATTGCTGCACGGGCTAATATCCATAGGTAGGTTAGTACTTAGACGACCCTAGGTATGTTTGTAACAGCTGTTCATCCCGTAATCTGGTTATGGAGCCTCACTTTTCTTGCCCTGTCTAATGGGTAACAAAAGAATCATCCTCCAAGGCTTAGGATACTAAAATAAAATAGCCCAACTATTGGTCTAAGCTGTTGTAAATTGTCTGGATTAATTTGTTTCTGTTACCCCGGTACCTGCCAGGACGAACACTCCACCACTTGTGCCACGGTCTTCGGAGTTTCGGATAATGAGCGGTAATGTTTTATTCACGCCGTAACCTTTACTCGGGTATCTACCTAGTATCTTCTGAGGTCTTTTTTTGATGTCACTACTTGTCACTGTCTGGAGAATTCCAGCTGAACCTAGTGTCGGTCTTAACTCTGGACTCACTTGCGTCATCACTGGTAGTTCACCGTCTTAAATAACGTATGCTGTTTCTGAATAACCCATAAGAGTGCTCGGAATAGAAATGATAGGTGGTCCACTGTGAGTGGCTTCAGGTTGCTGCGAGGCGGGTACCTCTTGTGTTTGAACTTGTCAAAATGAGAAACACTTGTCTTCCCAGCATGATTCAGAACAGTGTTGTATTCAAAGATATGATTGAATCCCGTAAGACAAAAAGATGCTTACTGAGGGCATCCGGTCACGTATCTTCTTTTTTTTAATTTTTTTAGTACTATGTAACATCAAAGAAAACCCTTCTCTGTCCGATGCTTAAAATCTCATCTCATCATCATCTCTCACCCTAGACCACTAACAGCACGACCCAGCCAAAGTTAGCCCCGCATTCACTCAACTCGCCTTACACTGGGTCAGAAGCCCAGCCCATGCTATGGAAGCTTCCGGGAACTAAACTAAACGGTCCCGCTGCACTCTCAGCCAATCAAACCATCTCCACAGATTAGAGTAGCGATGCGACAGTGACCGTTCCTCGATAGGCAAGGGGAGGAAGGAAAAAAAAGTGAGATGCTAACCACGTGCAGCCCAGCTCAGCTCAGCTCATCATCACGTCGCAACAGAGCCTCATTACCCAGATCGCCATGGCCAAGAGACGGAAGCTGACGCATAAGAATGCACCGAGCGCACATTCTAAAAAGCATGTTCAGCAGAACAAACCAGACCAGAAGAAGCCCCTAAATGGCCCCGCGAAGAAGGGTAAAGGCAAGCAGCAGCGACAGATCGATGAAACGCCTACGATACCATTTGAGCCTCACCACCGTATACTCCTCATTGGGGAAGGTGATTTGAGTTTCGCATCATCTATAATTCGACATCACGGCTGCGCAAATGTCACTGCGACTGTTCTGGAAAAGGATGTCAACGAACTGCTAGCCAAGTATCCCCATGTTGAAGACAACATTGCTGTGATTCGCGGTGATGCCCACAAGTCCGACAATGCTGGCAGGGAAGACAAAGAATCATCATCAAAGGAAACAGAAGCCGGCGAAAGTAATGAGGATAACCATGAAGAGAACAACGACTCCAATGGTGAAAGCGACTACGAGGAAGAGGATTTCTACGACTCAGACGATCCAGACGCACCACCCAGACCCAAGCGAAATCTGCCTCCCAACAACAAACTCCTATATAATATAGATGCTACAAAGCTCCCAAACTCCCTCACCCGTACGCGCTTCGACCGCATCATCTTCAACTTCCCCCACGTCGGCGGCAAGTCCACAGACGTAAACCGCCAGGTCCGCCACAATCAATCCCTCCTCGTCTCCTTCTTTGAACGAGCCATTCCCGCACTAGCTCCTGGTGCAGCTATCATCATCACGCTCTTCGAAGGGGAGCCCTACACCCTCTGGAACGTGCGTGATCTGGCCCGCCATGCTGGTTTGCAAGTTGAGCGCAGCTTCCGTTTCCAGGCTCGTGCATATCCCGGTTACAAGCATGCGCGGACGCTTGGTGTCGTGAGGAATGCCAAGGGCGAGGTCAGTGAGAGCGGATGGAAAGGTGAGGAAAGGGCATCAAGAAGTTTTGTATTCAAGAGAAAGGAGGACATCGTCCCAGTGGTGGGGAAGAAGAGACGCAAGGGCGACGATTCATCTGACGATGAAGACTGAGATAACATTAACGGATGAGTAAAGAAAAAGCATTATTGGCGTATGGTGTTATATACCGGATAATTTTAGACAAACATAGCAGTTCGATTTATGTCTTCATAATTGACTAAAAATGGATCTATACTTGACCAGGGGTATCTGCTCCATGTCGTCTTCTGCCACATCAATGCAAAAAACCCTTCCTCCCCAAACTCCATATAATCGTCGTAGAAAGGTGGCTGACCCTCACCAGAACAGGGTGGTTTCGAAACCCTAGATCAAGATGGACCCTTAACACCGTGACGCCTTCAGTAGAAAACACTTCCATGAAGCAAACCCCGGCTGGTATGGTGTTGCCGAGCGCCCCCTGGGGACCAATCTACCCTGTTGAGACAAGGTCCAAATGGCCCGTTTATATAAGAAATGATACAATGCGCCTGGTATCGGCCCTTGAACTCCCAAAATGCAAATATGATTATAACCCAGCCAGCTCCATTAGTGCTCCTAACCGTAGACTGCAATTCTGGGGGATTAAGCGACTCTCTGTTTGTAACCCCGCACACTCCGCTTGTCCCTTACGCCGGCGTCTCCTGCGAGCCAGGTCCTCGACCTTGGTGATTAAGCCGAGATATCTCGTTAGACGCTCCCAGTATATCCTTCTCAGCATTCTTGGTGGCATCCTCCAAGTCCTTTGTATGATGAGCCTCGTCCTCAAGCCTCTGTGCCTCCTCGTTTTCCCTCATTAGTGCCTCTTCCTGCTCACGAAGAGCTTCCTGTTCGGCAGTAACAACACCATCCATAGACGACTGCGGAGGAGGTGGCGGAGGAGGTGGCGGACTAGGCGCTTCCAACTCGTCCTCTCTTAGCCTCTTCATATTCGGCCCATCCGTTGAAGTAATGGATGGTGAACCACCCGCTTCTGTATCCCTCTTTCGCTTACGATCAGGGCTTCCCAGAGAACCGCTGCCCTCCCTGTCTGATCCTACGATAACGTCTATTCCATCTGCCGATGTGCCGTCGACCTTAGCTAGAGACGCGCCCTCCGATACATCGACGGCAGAGCCAGCCCTGCTACCTGCAGTGCTGGGTCCCTGGTCATCCTTCATCTGGGCATCCGCGCCTTCATCTGCCTTCCGTTTATGCTCTCCATATTTTCTGACAGCACGGTCCAAAAAGTCTTTGACATATTGCTTGATCTTTTTGACCTGCTTGTCACCAAGTGGTGCACTGGGGTCTTCGACTCTGTTGTTCTTGAAGTCGGACGCGACTAGCTTCTTAGCTATATCTTTACCAAAGCGTTTCAGCTCCTCCTTAGGAAGTTTGTGATGGAATTTGTCGAGGACGTGTTTGATATGGGGAAATAGCTGATATTTCGTTAGCAAAGTGCATATGGTATAACTGTCAGAGAGGGACTTACAGTATTCTCATAAATCTTCATCCGTTTGTCAACTGGTATAGACCGCCATTTCTCCTGTTTCACCTCCTTAGGGGGCGTTTCGGCCGCCTTCGGAGTTGACGCAGAAGTGTGCTTTGGCGTCCCTTTCTCAGTAACTTGGTTGATAATACTTTGAATCGCCAATTGCTCCTTCATAGCCTTAGAGGGTGTCTTCGCAGCTGGGTCTGTTGCGGGCTGTGTAGGCCTCTGCCAGGTGGTAGCACCCTGCTTGGTATAGAAGTAAGTGTTGCCTGCAGCGTCCTTTGCGGTAAACCACCCCTGAGGAAGTGAAGCGTTGAATGGAGGTCTGCGAGGGCGTCCACCATTCTGGAAGAAGGCATTATTCCTTTGAGGCATGCTGTTCCGAGGACCCTTGGGTGCGTCAATGGGTGTTGGCGATGCGGTCTTGGAAGTAGATGGTGCCGTCTCTTCTTCTCGACCTGCTCCACGACGTTCCTCGAAAGAGTTTGCAGCCGGCGCGTTTGGGTCAAACTTGCGCCGCCGGATTCGGTAAGCTACCTCAAGTTTGCTCCATTCGTCGAGCAGATGCTTGGATTTTGATGCCACGTCTTCGTGCTCGGATTGCGTCAACCCTTCGATTGTCGTCTCAATCTTGGAGTCCTGCACCTTGTTCCTCGTTAATCGAGGGAACTTGTCAAGAATATCCAACACCTGAAGGACAACGTTGTGGTCGTCGATAAAAGTATTGAGGGTCGTTTTCAGAATTTGATAAGCATGCATCCGCATAACGCAGTGAATGACGCGTTCTTCGTCGCACCGCAGGATACGTTCCAGAAGCTTGACTGCAATCCATTTCTCCTTGCACTGCATAAGCGCGGCCATGACCTTTCTCGCATCATCCTCGTTGAGACTGCGTGGTCGTATACTGTTGACATATTCCTCATCGTCCTCGTCAGGCTTCTTCTTCCGGGGTTTCTTGGCAACCGAAGTATCCCAGCCATCGCCTCCGTCGATACCCAGCGCCTCAACTGTGGCTGCAGGCAGCTTGGTTGCTCGCTCAGTTTGTGTCTTGCCTCCAATGAAACCCACACAATTGGGTTCCCCGCAGTAGCAGGGTTGAGGGTCGGCACCATATCGGTCAACATTGTAATTGAACACCAACTCCTCTCCGGATTGGATCTTGCGCGAGGCAAATATGCCCATCCGAAGTTTGTCGCCAACCACCCATTTGTCAACATAACAATTAGGGTTGCACGAGTGATTGCAAAAGCGACCATAGTTGCCCTTTTTCGTTGCGTCCACAAATTCGCTCTTGTTCAGGGACATGAAGTAGAAGTGCTTGATCCCCTCTTCATCGTACTGAATCATGCGGCGTCGAAATGTAGGTTCGTTAATGACCTCACCAATGTATTCAAAAACAAAGTCATTGGGTTGTAGATCCGAATCGGCGCGTAGGCCAAAACCCTTCTTTTCGGTTTTGATGACTGACACATTGGCGTACTGCTTGCGCTGAAATCGCTGGTTCTGGCAGCCTCCTGCGCAGTTTCCTGCCTCGGCGCTACACTCCATTTTTGTCGCCCGGTTGATGCAATCTGAATCTTCGCCACAAGCAAGGTTCTTGCCATCGTCTGCAGAAAAAGTTAGCCTGGCACAAAGCCGCAAGGTTTACTAGGAGGTCACATACGCCATTCTTCCCGACACTCGCAGTCCAAGGCGTCGTTATCTGTAGATCCAAGGTGCTTTGAGCCGTAGAGGCAGTCGGGGATGCGTTGGAAGAATTTGCATGACTCTGTGGTCATATCGGGGAGGTGGTCGAAAAGCACGGGTTCGCGACTGGCGGCTAATTTTTGGGAAGCCTTTCGGGAGAGCTTTGAGGGTCTGTTTGAACTCGGGGTATCTGCGCTTTCGCTGCGCGACTTGACGCCGTCCTGAGAGGCGGTCGGCGATCGAGAGCTTTCGTGGTCACCATTCGTGACGCTCATGGGAGTGTTGGCCTCCTGCTTCACCTGCGCGTCGTTTGCGCCCTCCTCAAGCTTGATTTCCTCCATTTTGCTGGTGGTATACTCGTCATCCTCCATTAGTACATCAGAAGCAATAGCCAAAAGGCCGAGTTTGGAGCGCGGTCTCAAGATTTGTCCAAGGCACTGTCGCGAAGCAAAAAGAGGCGTGTTTGCAGAGTCAAGGTAAACGCGAGGGATGACTCGTCTTAGGACAACGAGATGAGTGGAGCTTTAATGTAGTGGAGTGGGCATACGCTTCGCGCAAGCAGTCAGTTAGGTTTGGGGGGATAAAGCAAGCAGAAAGTCGACGGGAAGCGAGGCGAGGCAAGGCAAGACAACCTAGAAGGTATGTATGTAGACAGAACGTGGAGAGGCGACTCGACACAGACCGGATCCGGGGTAATATTTTGCGGTCACGAGGAAAAGCGACAGGGCAAGACAAAGGAGTCAGGGCTCATCAAGACCGTGCATCGACGATTACAAAGAGGACGGACAATAGGATGCGAGGGACGAAGCCAATTCGAGTCGAGAGCGCTCTTGACGGCCTGGTCAAAGGTAGAGCAAATAGGCACTATAGGTAATAGCATGTCTGGTCGGAATTTTATGGCCCCGAGTTTCCGACGAAATAGGCCCGACCGAGGTAGAGGTAGGCCTGTAGTATTGTCATTTGCGCGCCATGATGGTAAGCCATGCCATGCTGCGACAGCTGCTAGCTATGGATGCCAGTATAAAAAATATACACTTCCAATTAGTATCAGCGACTTTCTAATTCTGGGCCAGACTCTGATTCAGAATCTGATCCGACAGACGCCTCCTGTCTACACCCTGCAGTTTTGAATGTCCTTTTCTCTCAAAATTCAGTATGCGCTTCAGCAGCTCCTGGTAGTTCCAATCTAGCTCCTGGGCAGCCAACAATGTGAGTTGCCAGTCGAGTGAGTATTGGTTGAGGATGGACGATGACGGTGGTGTTGGCTACTTTTGGATAGCAAAAGGTTTGTTGTGGACTGAATACTCGATGACAGTCTATTCATGGATCCCTAAGGTATGGATAGTAGGTAGCGAGATGTAGTTGATACGAACAGAATTCAAAAGTGAGGAGCTACCCTCATGTTATGTGCCTATTATGAATAAGGCAAGAGCAAGACACTTCCAATTACTGGGCGTACAAAACAGTAGGTACTGTAAAACCCCACTGGGTCGTTCTGCAAGTGGAGCCAACGGGAGCTGCCTACCTCTGACCAGGTACCTATGGATGTTTCTTGTGGTATCAGTATGTAGAATAAAATAAAATGAAATTGAATTGATGATCAAAAAAAATTATATGCTTTATGATGCAATTGATGATGATATTCATATGATACTGCATTACGACTTATAAAAGACTTGACTTGCATGCTGTCGACCCAGTCAGATATTGCCAGCTCATAGTGCATTTAATGCCTGTTTGCTAGGGGAACTTAGATCAACCTACGACGTGGCTGAGCTTGGTTCCCTTATAAAAAGGGAGCAATGTACACTCATTTCTCTGCATTTTATTGTTTTCTGCTTCGTTCTGCTCTTTCAATTCAACAAACGACCCGACGTTGATGATGCTCTATCTGATGCCCTATGTCCGTACCCCAGGTCTTGACGAACAGTTTTGACGAACAGTTGGCCAGTGCTACGTTCCCCAAATACGACCAGTCAACCCGCAGACAGGGTTCGTTTCAACAAATGACAAATCCAATGATGTGACGAATCATTCTCTGAGTGAGAGAAAAGAACAATGAAGTCGGTACCGACAATCATGGAACATGACGGCTTGAAACAATGATCCCGTCGCCAATTGGCTCATAGCCTAGGCCTCCTACCCTTGGACATCTCCAGGTTACACTTCCATCCATGGATTGCTCTTTGCCCAACCCTGAGGGCGAATAGCTTGGCGACTGCGGCTGCAAGCAATTACACAGCAAAGGACCAGGCTGAGCCTTTCTTTGGTTGGTTGGCCATGACGGACAAATACGACACCAGGCAAGCATTTGCATAGGCGAGAAGCCAATGGAAATCCGATAAATTCATGTTGGTGCGTTTCAATGGGCTGAGGTTTTGTGAGCATGGGACCAGCAAGTCTGAAGGTATCGGTATCAGTATCAGTATCTGTATCTCGAGTCAAGTCAGCTGCAGGATTGCCCGTGATGCACCAAAAGGGTTACGGTTATTAAACGAAACAAGGACAGCAACAAATTGGGCCACTCGAACTGAGACATTTAGAGGCCTCTGCCTCTAAGCTCGGTCGAATGAATCACACACAGTCAGCTTAAACTGAACGTTCAGAGGCATCCCATCCATCCCATCCATACGCCCACCCACCCATACCTAGGTAAGGTATCAATTATCAGACCGAATCAGCGCAAACATGCAAGAGGGACATGGAGGGCAAAAAAAGGAGAATTTCCGAATTCAGGAATCAACTCAAGCTGTGCTACGCAACGCAACCCAACACAGCACATGCACAATTACCTGCTCCCCTGGATCTTTGTGTATTCTTTTCTCGGCCACTCCCGTACTATTCTATCAACTATCTACCTCTTAGGTATCTACATAGTACCTGCGGATCTCATATACGCTCCCGATGCCTGTCAAACCATACATTTTAACGATCCCAGCCAACCGATTTGATGGCTCTTGAACACTGCCTTGCATTATAACTGCCACTAAAATCCTCAGGTTGACCTTCTCGCCTCCTTGACATTCACATCGCAATCCAATTTCTTGTGCAAAACATACCTTTATTTTCACTCACAAAACTACTACAGGCCAAGTCTTCCTCCGCCTTCGGATAGACTTGGTCAAGATCGCATTGCCAAGGGTATATAACCTCCTCAACTTACTTGATGAGATTTGTTACAGCATCTGACTTCACTTAGGCATCGCCAACTCTCAAGACTTTGCGGAAAACCTCTCATCACGATTACAGGAAACTCTGGACATTCTCGCCTCTGTGTTGCCTTTGTGACCGCAAGTAGTGACCTTCGCTTCTTCGCCCACCTGCTATCACATGTACTGCGAGACCTTGAACCTATCGCTTCCTCTTGTCGTACCCGCCATCTCCAAGCCAGTCGGTTGGGGCTATCCCTAGGTTGTAGCTTGGGCAACCGCAGAGAGCTTCTAGCGAATATCAAGATATTCCGAATTTTTCAGAAATAGCTACTCTGCTATTGACCTGTCATCGAGAGCCTCAACACTGCCACCCGTGGGGGATATCGAAACATGGAGCCTTTCAGCGAATATGAGAAGGTATGTGATGATGCAACATCCTGACTTGATCAATAAGCTAAAATGTATCAGCGCCAGCTTTTAATTGAGCTCATCAAGCAAAGTCCAATCGACAACTACACATTGTATAAGGTTATTGGACTCTCTAACATTTCACCTAACTGGTTTCACGTGGCTCCGCCAAATGGTAAGTCAAACACCACGAGTTCAGATCTCGAAACTAAACAATCTCATAGGCCGAACTGTGGCTCAATGTCAGGCGGCTCTCATGCATATAAGAAGTGAAATGTCCGAGTCGGACCTGAAGAGAAAAGCCCCTGGCGAGGAACCAAGCAGTGAACGCAGCAACAGCGTTCAGTCCTCCGGCTCTCAAGGGCCTCACGTACAGCCGCAAACTACTGCAGAACCTTCTGCCCAGATGAACAATCAGCGCGTACCGAATATGCCCCTGAAACCTCAGCAGCACCAATATCAACCAGGACCACCTCCTAAGAAGAAAGGTCGCCCACCGTATGCAAATAGGAATGCTGACCAGCGGCCTTTCAACCCTCGACTCCTTGCCCCCATGCCTCCTCAACAAGTCTTTCAGAATGCACAGGCGTCTTTCCGGCCTATTGCTCCGGCCCCTCAGCTGCATCCAGGTACTATCACGACTGTTGCGCTGGCTGCTGTCCGCATTCCGAATATGGAGCGACAGGGTGGAATGGGAATACCCACTCCACAGATGTCTATGGCCATGCAAGAACAAGCTCGACATGTTGTCAAACAACAGAGACTTCCTGCATCGAGCGAGGTAAAACCTACATTCCTATATACACGAATCAGTGATTGATATCTAGACAGCCCCCCGAGCAAGACCCCAGCTGCCCTGGGTCACACAGTGAAGCATTTCCCACCTCTCTCAAGAAAGAACCAACCGAGCAGGACCGACCACGCTCTGTCGAGCTACCTGAAACAAAGGACCAGACTGATGCTTCCGAGAAGGAATCATCGGACCAGGAAGGACGAGAGGGAAATGGTATCACTAACGGAAACAAGAAAGTACGCCGAAGTCGGCGTAAAACTTGATCTCCTTCAAGAGTGCAACAAGATAGAAAGTGAGAGAAGGGCGGAATTGAAGTCGTTCTGTATGAGAAAACGACTTACAAACCTATCAGCACTAAAGATAGGGGTATCTACGACGCAAACGGAAAAGTGAGAAGTATACAGGAGACCTACTAGCACGGAAGCAAGGGGAGGTCTTTCATGTAATTTTGGACGGGTTTGCAGTAACTGATCAGCTAAGGGGAGAGACTATTGCAGAGCCATAGTCTATCTGTCACCCAACACATGTACATACTTCAAAGACGTATAGCTGTAAGAGATTTGTATGATAAACTACCATTGTGTATTCGTGAATGATATCGAGCTAAGAGATTCGTGACAATTGTTCGTTGTAAGCGCTGCCACGACTTTCCATACTTGGTTAGAAATAGGATTTCGTGCTATGCCTTGACGTTACAATAGATAAGTGGTACTGGATGTAGTCAACAAATGGCAAAGGATGAGCTTTGAAGTTACACCGTTATGTTAGTTGTACTAACTGCCTCGCCTCGGACTCTAAACACGTAGCCAATTTATCACGTCTACTCTTGACTTTCGGACGAAAATCAGAAATATCTGGATTTTATTAATCTCCGCTAAATACATAAGCCCTTGAATTGGTCCTTAACTCCGTCATCCAGAAATGGTCATTTTTGTACCCTAGCTAGCCCAGTTTTATTTTCGTATTAGCTTCCCTTTTACTGCTTGACAATCTTCTCGATGGTGTCGAGCAGGATATCAGCGTGCTTCTGCTGGAAGATAAGCATAGGTCGTAGACGGACGGCGTTAGCACCGCTGCCGCCAATGTTCACACCCAGAGTCTTGGCCTGGGCCAGGAACTGATCACGCTTGGGGTTGTCAAAAGCAATGAATGTTCCCTGGCCCTTACCACGAAGGTTCTCAATCTGGCCAGGGTATTTCTTGCTAAGACTCTCAAGGCCCTTGAAAAGCTTATCACCCACCTTGGCGGTGTGGTTGACAAGATCGTTCTTGTTGATCTCATCGACGATAGCCTTGAAAAGAATGGCACGAGCAGGGTCACCCATCCATGTGTTGAACTGACGGTAAGGCTTGTTAGGGCGGATGGCAGGGTCGCCGTAGTAGAAACCGGCAGCCTGGGCCTTCTTGGAGAAGGTCACGATATCAGGAGGGGTGTCAAGGTTCCAGTGCTCGTGAGCCCAGAACTTTCCAGTAGCACCAATACCCGTTTGAACCTCGTCCACAATAAGGAGAATGTTGTGCTTCTTTGTAAGAGTGCGCAATTTGCGGAAGAAGTCAGGCGAAGCGTGGTTGTCACCACCCTC